TCGTGTCACGTCGGTCCCTGGGGTGTGTTGGAAGTAACTAGATCCGAAACACCGGGAAAATGACCCTCCCGCAGCCCCGAGAGTTTACCCAGAACCACCACCCCCTGCACCCTCCCCGACCCCGCTCCTTATTTATTCCAATTACGGCCCCGCCGCTCCCTCCGCCGGGGGAAGGAATTTATAATAGGATCTGGCGATAGGATCTGGCCCTAATCCTCTAAACCGTCACGCTGGTTGAAAAAAGGGACGGGATGGGGCTCATCAGGGCCATTTCCTCGGCTGATGGGGGGCTCCTGGGGAACCCTCTCGTTTCGCTGCGCGGCCGCGGGAGTTGCGCCCCCCCTTTCCCCCCTCTCGGCGCTCCCGGCTCCCAACGCCGCCTATTTATAGTATTCCCGGTCTCTCCCGGGCACAGCGCGGGGCTGAAAGTTCCGGGTAATGGGTGTTGAAAGGCTGCTGCGAGCCTTGGAAAAGGCAGGAGAAGAGCTTTTGCCGTTTTTTATAAACGTGTATTTATCTCGCGTGTGTTTTTTATCACAGTAGCAGCCCCAGCGTTCGGGGTGTCCCCCCCGCCCGCCCCCAGCCGAGCCCCGAGTGGCCGCAGCAGTGTCCCCGGAGGGGGGTAGCGATCCGAGACCCCGCTCCGGAGCTGCGGGAGGGCAGAACTGAGGCCGGGTCTACCGGAGGGGACAGCGCCGGGAGCGCTCCGGGGGCCCAGGGAGCGATGTCCATCGGAGACCTTCCCTTCTCGGTCTGTCGCACCGAGAGGTGGCCGGAGGAAATCATCCACCGGCGGCATCAGCCCCCTCTGGGACACGGGTAGCGTTGGAGAACGGCTCCGGCTTCCTCGGGGGGTCCGGGCTCGGCTCGGCGGTACCGGGGGATTTAACCCACACCGCCCGAGCCGGCCCGGGGTCCTGAGCCGGACACAAAGGAAGGAGCTCAAACATTTCGCTTTGGGATGGGTGCCCCTCATCTTTGGCGGGGCCCTCGGGGGTCTCCCACTCCCAGAGACAGACAGCAAGGCTTGCTTTAGGGGAAATGGGGATTTTCCCTCTTGGGGCTCGGGGGGCGGTTCCCGGGGGATGGGGGAATTCGAGGGGATTTTGCCTCTCAGAGCACCTCGGGCAGTTTTGTGCTCTCTCTCTCAGGTCCGAGGAGCGCTCGGGGCCTGTCCCCGCCTGCTCCGGGGAGGCGGAAAAACAGCCTGGCCATTGCCGGGAGCATTTTATTTGTGTTAAAAGGCAGCGAGCGAGGAATCGCAGCGAGTTCCGCGCTCAAGTTACGCTGCCCATCCCCGTGTCTGCGGACAGTCCCCAACCGGGCATCCCCCGGGATGCAGCCGGGAGCATCCGTGACATCCATCCCCCGAGCCTCCTCCCCGAGCCGGGGGTCGCTGCAACCGGGCAAACACCCGCGATCCGGTTTTCTTGAGAGGCAACACTTCAATTCCGGGGGCTTTTATTGAATTACGTGTTACCAGTCCTAAAACATTAAGCGTTATGTACTTAAAAGATACAGAGCATAGGTATTACATCCACAGGAAGTATTTTAGTCAGTGAATGTTCAATGTAGCAGGTAGAGATGAACTTAGCACGTCTTCCAGACTGAACTGGGAACAGACTCTTCAGCCATAAAATGCACTTAACAGTCTATTTAATAGTGGCGAGGTCCTTGAAAATGCAATATCCATGCTAATCTTGCCTTTTTCTAAATCAGAAATGAAAAATAGGTCAGGAAGGTAGAACCTTCCCCTTCCATTTAAAATGTGACATTTAATCTATTTAAATAACTAAGTAAACTTTATTAATCCGGGATTTGGTAAGCAAGCTGGGGAAGCAGGAGCCGCGCGACTTTATTAAGACGGCAAAATGTGAGAGGGAGAGTCTTTGAACTCCAGGTGCGATAAAAATCCCGATTTTCTTGAGGTTCAGCGAAATGGGAAAAGCCGGGACACGCGAAAACCGCCCAACCTCTCCTCTCCAGGAAAAGATGGAACGTCCCGCTCTGCTTTACCGAGGACTCGGAGCATCCCCCGGGCTGGGATCCCCGGGTCGGACGAGAGAAACTCCGTGTCCCCAGCGCCCAGAGAAACGCAGGGATTGAAGAAAAAACCCCAAACCACCAATAATTTGTATTTACTTTATTAAATGCCAATATTTCGTGGGGAAAAATAAAAATGAATCCGTATCCCTGCAGGCTCAGGTAGTTGTTTCTGACACATTTACTCCTGATTTTGCTCGGCAAAGGAGGATGCGAAAGAGCCGAAGCTCCTGAAGGCAGCTCCCGGCTCTGTGCCCGCTAAATCCCGGCCGATGTCCTGGTGTCGGGATCGTCTGGGAATCTGCAGATTTGGAATCTGCAATTCCAAACTGCCTCCAGAGTTTGTTCTCCCGCTCGCTCCGGCACCACGGCTCTGCTCAGAAACGAAATCCTGGATGAGCTGGAACTTTTTATGGCCGCAGGTTCTTCCCCCCACTCCCGCCCTAGGAAAGACTTTCTCATTATTCTGGCCGCATTTCACCCCAAATTTATGGAATACCCGCGGGATTTTTGCCTTGCCAGCGCTCGGCTGCCACCAAGGCATAGAGCCGGGGTGGAGGAGAGGAGGCAGCGGAGCTCCGAAGCCTCCCGAGAACGCCAAGGGTTAAGAAAAGCCGTTTATCTGCTCATTATCGGCTTCTCTTTACTCCTGAGCACCAAACCCCGCTCGTCTCCTACCCCGCGGTATCAATGTGTCCTGAATGCCTTTTCCAGTCATTGATCTGGTCAAAGTCACCGCAGAAACACAAGTGACAGAGACTCAATTCCAGGCGACGCGCCCGATGCGAGTATTTAGAAAGCATTCAATAAAAAAGCTTTCCCGGGGAGTGAATGATTTCACCTTGCAACAAAGAGCGCTCGGCTAATTGAAAAAATGCACTTGAATGTGCGGCCGTGGGCTCCTGCTCTCCCATCCCAGCTCCAGCACAGAATTAGCAATAATCTCCAAGGAAAAATCCTAAAAATCTTTTTAAAATTTATTTTTAATTTTTTTTTTTAAATTTTTATTTCGTGGTAGGAGCTGCTGAGTTATCAGCGCTCCCCGGCCTTGCTGTTTGGAGAATTCCGGGCATGGAAAATTCTGGAGGGAAGAGTAGGAGAGGAGAAAGGTACTGAGATAGGAAATCTTCCCCCGGGTTTAGGAATTCACTTTCAGTGAATAAAGCAGCTCCAGCCGCTGTGGGTTCAGGAGGCGTAACCCTGAGTTAGTTTGTAATTGATGAATTCGTAGGATTATCTTTATTTTACAAACTTGGCATTTCCAGACATCCTGTCAAAATCCTGAAATGGATGCACTTTGCCTAGCAGGAATATAAATTACTGAGTATATCAGATTAGGCAAACTATGTAAAATTTGGTGGTCATAATCTGCCATTTTCCACAGGATTGCAGCTCCAAACACCTTGGCAAGCCAGCAGACAGGTGTGATTTTCACCTTTATCTGTTTAAGACAGCTTTCAGTCTCTTCACACCATCCCACATGAGGCAACACCACAAGTGGCTGAAATTATGGCAGGTGTAAGAGGGGCCAGGACATCCAAAGAATTTGCACTCAAAAATGGTTGGGATAGGGGAAATCAGCATTGGAAAAACATCAAGGAAGAAAAGCCATCTCTGGTATTATGCAATATTGTATTTATAGTGCTTGTATCTTTTAAAAATAATCTGTACACCTGAAAAAGAAAATTATAAATCACTTGGTTTTCCAGTAATCTCTGTTAATATTTCTGTTGTAAGTGATCAGACATTTCTTGACCACATTTGCTTTTTGTAGCAGCTGTGTTTAAATCCATCACAACTTTTAGCCCTGGGATTCCAGCCCAAGGACAGCACTGCTGCCAGCTCACCTGGCAAGTGTGACCATGAAACCCTCAGTACATGGTGTTAGTTTTAAGAATAATCCGTTTTCTATTCAGTTTCATGTCCTGACCTCAGTCAGACACACAAAGAGAAGACAAGACCAGGTTGGATGGGCTTTGGAGCAGCCTGGGATAGTGGAAGGTGTCCCTGCCCATGGCAGGGCGTGGAATGAGATGATCTTTAAGGTCTCTTCCAACCCAGACCATCCTGTGGTTCTCTGATTTCTGTTATGCTCTGTGCTTTGTCAAGACCTTCAAGAGAATTAGAAAGGGTAAGACTGAAAGCTTTAAAAGCGAGGCCTATGGTGCATCACAGAGAGATTCAGAGTGTTCCTCACTGGAGACACTCGAGGCTGTCTGGACACAACTCTATGCCAGGGATGGCCCTGCCTGAGCAGGGACGTGGCACCAGATGATCCCACTGTGGTCCCTTCCAGCCTGAGATTCTGTGCTACGAGCTTTATGTACCAATCGGTTCCCAGATATAGACTCCAAGCCGTCAAGGCTGAGGAACTGCTCCCCAGCTGGTTGGCATAGTAAAGAAACATGAATTCAACCCAAACATGATGGCTGGGGTTGGAAAGGATCTTAAAGTCCATCCAGCGCCACTCTTGCCATGGGCAGGGACACCTTCCGCTATCCCAGGCTGCTCCAAGCCCTGTCCAACCTGGCCTCGGACACTTTTAGGGACCCAGGGGCAGCCCCAGCTGCTCTGGGCACCCTGTGCCAGGGCCTGCCCACCCTCACAGGGAACAATTCCTGCCCAATATCCCACCTAACCCCGCCCTGTGGCAGTGAGAACCATTCCCCCTTCCCCTATCACTTGTCCAGAGCCCCTGTCCAGCTCTCCCGGAGGTTTCCCCGGAGCTTTCTCTCCTCCCGGAGCAGGCGGCAGCGCACGCAACGCGGCCCCGGCCATGGCGGAGCTCCCTGAGGCGCTCCCGCCCCGCGCAAGCGCACAGCCCGCCCGGAAGGCGCCGCGCAGGCGGAAGCGCGCGCGCCTGGCCCGAGCCCGGTGAGAGCCCCGGGCGGGACGGGCTGAGGGGAACCGGGGAACCGAGAGCGGGGGACCGAGAGCGGGGGACCGAGAGCGGGGAACCGAGAGCGGCAGCGGGGGCTGAGCAGCTCAGGGAGGTGCGGGCGCTGCGCGGTGACGAGGGTGAGCGCGGTCAGGGGGCTGTGGGGTGAGCCGCCTCAGGGCGCTGAGGGGCTGAGGGGGGGCCAAGGAGAGCGGGTCGGGGAGGTTTAGGGGGCTGAGGGGCGGCAGAGCCCGCTGGTGGCCGGGGGCAGCTCGGCCCCGGTGTGAGCCCCACAGCCCCGGCCCGCCCTGAGGGCACAGCGAGGTGTGAGAGGGAAGGGTGAGGAATAAAGGCGTCTCCTGACAAGGATTAGGGAAACAGCAAGGTTGTAGACAAGTGTTGCTGGGAGAAATGAAATTCTTCATTCGCTTTGTGCGTTTTTCAGCTGCTGAAATGTGTGCCGACACCTCTTTTAAAACAAGTGCTATTCAGGGGCGTGCTGGGTTCTGTCTGCCTCCTTGGGCCAGGAGTGGGTTGTTTGTATTTGTGTTATTTATCTGAGCCTTCATCGTAGGCAGTGTGGAAGGATAGCGGGTTTTTTTGGGATTTATTTAGCTGTGATTTTCACCTCATGCTTACAGGTGGGATCTTGAGAGACCCCCCCAGATGTTGCACCTCCAGAGGAAGGTGAAAAGTTTGGGATTGGCCAAACCGCCTTTATCATCCCCTAAAAATTATTCCTTGTCTAACATTGTTCCCCACAGGATACCAAGAATTAAAAGTTCTGTGCTTTAGAATCTAACAAAAACGTGGCTTTTTGTTATAGATAGTATGGGATAATTGTTAAAGGTGAAAAATAAGGAGGAAAGAATACTTCAAGAGCCACTTTTGAGAGCAGAGAAAAACTCAATATCCCAGAAAACAATTGTTATTCCAAATGTGGGGAATAGCAAAAGTAAACGAGCGGAACAGAGATGGGGGAGTCTGTAGGTGAGGCTGGTGCTATGTAATAATTAAGAAGATGTAATTAATTAATGTTATGTCGAGATAGGATGGACAAATATCTCTTTTATTTAGATGAAAGTGTCTCCCCTGTGGCATAGGCACAGGTGAAAACATGAAAATATCAGTGTTCACCTTCCTACCCATAGATGGAGATCTGCTGGCACAGATTTATATTATTAATTAACTTCTTTTTTCCCCTTGGTGGTGGTGTTGGGTCACACCTTTCTGTGAATAGTAAATAGATATGGGTGGGGCTGGAGAAGAATAACCTAAACATGCCTTGGATGTTGCTTGTCTGGTACTAAAACAGCAGCTCAGTGCTTCAGCTGTATGGGATTTTTGTTTTGGTCAGTAACAAGTGAATTAAACTCAAATCAAAAGATGCTTTTTCTGCAAGGAAAGGCTGTGGCAGTTGTACCCTTCAAGACTGGAGTAATTCCTTCCTTACTTTTTTCCTAGTTCAGACTAAAAATTCTTTGATTTTTTGGGTTGAAGTTTGCATGTTCTGTAGTTAGGGGCCCTAACCCTAACATCTCCCTACAAAAAGTAATAAAAAACTATTATAAAAATAATAACTAATTTAAAATCCCAAGTTTTATCTCTGCATTATCAATTAAAAAAAAAGGTCAAACAAAAAAGCCCCACATTCTAAAAGTTTTATTCTAATACTTCTTATTCTTTTAATTCTATTAATAAAATTTTCTTAATACCTTTTCAATTTTAAACCTATTTTACCCTCCTCTTAATGCATATCTCCCAACAAAAAATAAGTAAGTACACTAATAATTTTAACCAACGCTAAACCCACCACATTATTTAGTACATTAACCAAAAAACTCAAATCAACAAACCTAAACCACTACATGTTTTGAGGGTTTTTTTAGTTGTTTGTTTTGGGTTTTTTTTTTTTGCATAGGGCAACATAATAATTTTCTTGTTTCTTGGCAATATTTCTTACTTTTACTGGATCCTTAATGTGGTGAAATAAGCTTGGTGGGATATCAGCCCTGTTGCTTTTCGGGGGTAGAAGGATGGAGAGTAACATCTCCTGACCCTAATTAACTTTTAAATAACTTTTCTTTTGTTTAAACCAGCAGTGGTGCCTATACCAGACTTTGCATAATCTGGCTGTGGTGAGAAGTGGCATGAACTTAATCCTGGGCCATTTATTCACTTTTTAAACCCCTGTGCTTGTTAATAATGCAGTGAGTTATTAAGGGAGGGATTGTTTAGCAGTAATGGCTGAGGACAGAAGCCTGGCTGGTGCTGTAGCAATGCTCCTGCTGTGTTCCCAGGTCCCTGGAGTGTCCCAGAAGTGTCTCCAGCCATGGAGAAGTGGAGCCTGATGACAATCACGGTGTTGCTGGCACTCACCGTGCGCTGGGCTGTGTCTCTGGGCTCCTACTCAGGTAAGGCACCTGCACGGGCTGCAGCAGCCTCAGGGAAAGGGGTTATGGGGCGTGTGAGAAATGAAAATAAATGTTATTTATCACTTATTTATTTTATTGTTGTTTGTATAAAATCATAAATGGGAAGCAATGCGTTATTTCAGCTGTTGTTATATTTTACTTGCTCTTGATTTCCTTGGGAATTCCTTTTGCTTGTTTTTTGAAGTGTGCCATGATTGACATCACAGTTTGGAGCAAAACACTGGAAGAAGCCACCATAACTTTATTTTTTGGTAGTGCTGGTGATCCTTAATGTTTTAGGATCAATATCTGTCTCTTTTCCCCTGTGCCTTTATTTGCAGAATGTTGCAGTCCACTTGTACATTTGCCTCATAGCGTCTTTTAAATTCTGCAGCGGATATAACCTTATTATTTATATTTTAATTTAGCTTATGTTTAGTTAATCCTGGTGCTAATGAAGACAGTGCAGAGGTGACATGGAGTGAACAATGGCTCTGCCTTGTAGCTGTACCTCCTTAAGTTTGTTTACAGCAGGAGCCAGAGCTACATTCTGGTAATGGATGAGTTTTCCTCCTCCCTGTGTCAGAAAGCTTGCAAAGAATTAGCAGGTTCCTTCCCAAGCCTCCCAGTTCCATTCCCACACTTGGAATAAGCTTGCACAAGGCTTGCTGTCTGCAGATTTAATAAAAGATGAAAAATGAACCAATGCTTCCAATCCTCATCAGCCCAAAGAGTCACAAGTTAAATTTTACTCTGGTTTTTGAGCCTCATCCCCTGAGTAGCTGGAGCTGCTCAGAAACATTCTGCTGATTTTAACTGGTAATTCTGGCTTTCATTTTTTGAAGAATTTGCTTGAAGATGAACTGCATTTCCAATTGTTTTGGTTTGAGTTTTCTTTCTCAAAATGCCATTTCTGAGAGATCTGTAGGTAACTGAGGTTTTTACCCATCTCTAAGCATGAAGCACCCTGTCTTTAGGCAAACACTGAATTTCTCTTGCAGTGCAAGAGGATTTATTTAGAATTCCGTTGCTAACTAGATTTTTGTAAGTTGATTTAATTTCAAACCAATCAAGATTGTGGGAGAGAGTCTAAAATAAAGCCTGAGCTAAAATAACAATTTTTAAATCTTATTTCCTCCACAGTGCTGATATAACTACTCTTGGAACAGGAAAAGCTGAATCTGATCCAGTCCAGCAAATTATTAAAGCTTAACTTTGAGCATTGGCTGGCTGTAAAAAGACAAATCCCAGTGTTGGAGCTGTCAAACACATAAATCCACTGGGATTATTTTTTTTTTTCTCTTTGACTTCTTGCAGATGTGACAAACTTTTAATTCCAGCCTCATTTACTGTGCACCCTTGGATCTCTGTCTCATTCCCACCCTGTTCCTTGCCATCAGCTTGCTTTTGGATCTGTCTCTGGAATTAAATGAAAAAGCAGAAGCTAATTCCTGGTTTTGAAAAGTTACCATTAGAAATGAGCTGGTCTTGTAGAATTATTGAAGAAAAATTTGGTTTCATAGGTTAATGCTTAATTTTTTTAATGCATTGCCAAACTCCTGCTAAATACAGGTGTTGAGAGGCAGCTTCAAACCCTTAAAAAAAATCTGTTCCCAGGTAAACAATAAAACTGAATAAGATCACTGCTTTTAAGGTACTTCTGAGCCTCTTAAAATAAAATATTCCAGTTTTATTAATTTTTAACTCAGTTTTTCTGTGTACTTGGTGCTTTCTGTAGATGCAAGCTAAATGTGCATTGTCAAACAAACTGATCAGTAGCTGGCTTTTAATAATCAAACCTTTGGATTAAGATCTTTTGGTCATTCTGAAGGCAATTAATTTTTGTCATCCCTTTTTTCCCCCTAGAGAAATTAATACACACACAGACACTCTAAGATCTGGGTAATATCTATTTTGTATTTCAATAATCCAGTGGCAGATTCTTTGTTCCACTGGACTTACAGCTACAGAATTGACACTGATGACACTCCAGTGACCTGACTTCTTTGAGAAACTTTAAGCTGAATGTGTGAGAGTGGAGATAATCTGCTTTTTCCACCACCCAGGGAGAAATTAGCAGAGATAAGAGGTCCTTTCCACTTTCTGGGAATAAATTGCACATTGCTGAGCTCGTGGGATTCCCACAAACATAGATCATGGGTAAAACCAGAGATGGCTTTCCTATATTTTAAAGAACCTCTTAAATCTCTGTCTGGCTCATGTCAATATTTCACTGGGAACACAATCAGTTGCTGTTCTCAATGATCAGGTTAATAGAAGTAAATAAACTCTGGGAAGATGCTTTGCATGCTTCCATTATCACAGTTAGGCTTCCATCAAGGGGAGTATTTGATATCTGAAGTATTTGCATTGATAAAGCTTTTTTTTTTCCCACATGAAAATGGCAAATAATAATACTATAATATTAATAATAAGGTACCATGACATAGCTGCAACACAAGTGAGAATATTGACAATTATCACATAGCAAGGGAGTGCAGCAGTTCTCACAGAATCACTGTAACATGTCCATTATGTGCATTTTCCTAGTTCAGGGGAAGTACCACATTTTTCATCTGCACTTGGAAATGATTTTTTTTGTCAGATGAGGAAACAGTTCTTCACAGCAGAGTATCTTGATAAATGCTCATTGCAGAAATCTCCAGAAAGCCAAAAGAACACATAACTTTTTTTTTTCCTCTCTGTTAGGCTGCATGATGAGGTCTCTATTTGCCCTCAATATAGAGAAATGGAGAATAAAATTAGTAATTAATATGCAATACATAACTGGGGGGAAGCAATCTAAAAACTAAATAATGTCCTAAATGCTGTGTGCTCTCTTTTCAGGGGCAGGAAAACCACCCATGTATGGAGACTACGAGGCTCAGAGGCACTGGCAAGAAATCACCTACAACTTACCCATCAGGCAGTGGTAGGTGGTGCTTACAAAGGGAGAATGGGAGCAAATCCTGCTTGGATTTTACACCTCTGAGTTCACTGTTTGCTCCCATGATCCATGAGATTTTTAATTGTGGGAATTCTGGATTCTAGATTTATAGTGAGCTTCATTTGTACAGATCACGTAAAACAGGAGGAGAATTATTCTAAATATTTTATTGATTTTTGAATTATTCCTAATATTCTTTGGAGGAAAAAATGTAGTCTACATATGTGCTACAATCCAAATTGGAATATACTGGAATTCCAGCTCATCTTCTATCAAGGGCAGAGGTGTGTGTGTGGTGTAATTTTTTCCCTGGCTGTCTGTTGGGCAGCAGACTAATCTGACAAAACAGAAAATTAATTCACTTGTGATCTGTAAATACACATGAACTCTGCAGATGGCTCTGTCTAGTGACCTCAGATCATCCTCTTGTTCCTATATTATCATTTTTGTCCTTTTTTTTTTCTGGGATATCCAAACCCTGCCTGTGCCAGAGTTGGGATAAGAGGTGTTACATAATAATGGAGTTGGCAGCTCTGATTCAGTCTGCTACACTGAGCTGTGTCTCCTTAAAATTAGGAGTTATAGCAGCCAATATTGCCAGGCATTCCCAGGGGCCAGATCAGACACTGCTGCAGGCTGGCTTTAGCTGAGGGACTGCCAGGTGGGCACCTTGGGCTTGTATTTGCTCTATGGTTTTATAATTGATGTAATTTTGTATTTATAATTGAAGGGTTTTTTGGGTTGGGTCTGCTTTGGGAATTGGATCTTGAATACAGCAAAGTGGGTGTTTGGAAAAGCACATCTTGGCTGATGTGCAAGGGATTGCATTCTGGAATTTAAATATTTCTGGTTTATGTTATTCTTTAAAGTCTTAACATTATTTACTAAAGGCTGCTTTAGGAGCATCCTTTCTTATTCTACTGCTAATTAAAGCTCTGAAAGCTTCCTTACTAAATATTACTGGATATATAGGGGTTGTTTTTCTTTTTTAAATTGAAAACTTTACGGAAAGTAAAATGAAAAAATAAAGCCCCAAAACTGGCAAGTTCCCTGAAAGTTGCAAGCTGTGACATTCAGCATGAAGAATCTGCACTGCCTTGGCAGGAGCAATCTTGAATTGTAGGATGAGAGGCAGAGATGCAAGTCAAAGAAATGTGATTTATCATCAGTTCAGAAGATACTTCAGGCAGCTCATAAAGAATTCAAGAAATATCATTTACTATTATAAATGTCAAAAATTGGCTGCATTTGAAGAGAGGAAGTGGAAAAGCCAAGAGCCTGCCCCATGGCAGTGGGAGTGTTTCACTGGGAGATGGGAAGGGGCTGCTCCTCATTGCTGGAACTTTTCCTTGGACAAACCCCTCTGATCTCATTTGCCAGAAGTGACTTCATTTTATCAGTGCCACAGAATTCCTGACACAACAGAATCCCAACTGGGAAAACTTTTCCTTCCTTTCACCTGGGCCACCTGGGTTTGGAGGTAGAGCCAGGAGTTTCCCACTCCACTCAAGTGAGCTGTAGCAGCTTTTATTTTGCAAACACAAATATGTGAAGTCTGCGTCACCTTTGCTGTAATTTTGTTGCTTGAGACTTATTTAATGTGAAGTGAAATGTAGCAGGTATAGATGTCGCCACCTTCTATTTTGGATTTGGAATACATTTAATATTTGGCCTTTTCCTTGGATCAAAACCAAGCTGGAAATGTAGTCTTTAAATTGAATTTTATTTTTTCTAGGTACTTCAATACAAGTGACAACAACCTGCTGTACTGGGGCCTCGATTACCCACCTCTCACTGCCTATCACAGTTTTGTGTGTGCTTACATGTAAGTTCAGTGATTTAAATCCTCTGTTACATTTTTCTTTCTGGATATTCAGCTTTCCCTACAAGCTAGTGCTGGATCTGGGATGCCCAGGGAAAAATGCTGCAGGAACAGGAGGCATTGCCTGGGAAAGCTCTCGTGTGTGCAGGGCCCAAGTGACATTTGATGAGTGGATATCATGTAAATAGAATTCTGTTATTGGAATACTTTTTCCACAAGGGCTTTGCTGCTGTTGGAATGAGACTTATGGAATAAGAATGTAGGTTAAAGTGCACAGGCACAGCTATGTGGGGCATCTATGTGAACTGTAAATGGTTTATATTTAATACTTAAGCATGAAAGGTATTTACAATTGTTTTTTTTTAAAGTCCCTGGAACCAGACTGGAGGTGGTTATCTTGTCCTAATAAATATTGTATTCCATTTTTACTGTTTCCAAAGGTTATTTTTGTTTAATTGTGGAACAGTCTATAGTGTAAAGTGATCTAGTGGTGAGGAAAAGCTTTAATTGATCACTATTGCTCTCTGAAATATTTCTTCTCATTCATCTTCATTCTTGGAATCTGCTTCTGTGTGTGTCATCTTTATTGCTGCAAGGAGTGTAAAGGGAAATGAGAAGTGTCTGCATTTTGATGTGTCTGTACTTTGTTTTACAGTGCAAAGTTAATAAATCCTGATTGGGTTGCTCTGCACACCTCTCGGGGCTATGAGAGTCAGCCCCATAAGTTATTTATGCGTACAACAGGTAGGAAGATTATATTTCCTTGGGATCATCCTGCAGATTTGTCTTGCTTACTAATTCAGCATGTTTAATATGCAGCTTCTCTGTCTTTACTGGTTTATTCTCAGGTTTTTAATTGGGTGGCTTTGCAGGTCCATTTCTGAGACAAATTCCTGCATTATTTCCTCTTCTGCTGTCATTTGTGAAGCTGATAAATATAAAATGTAGAAACAAGTTTTCAACCCAATTAATTAATGAAAAACTCAAAGCCACAACTACTCTTTGTAGCATAGACCCACTTTTTAATTTTGAAAATATTCTTGTTTTCCCTTCTATTCTGATAAACAGTCTTTTTAGCTTAACTTGGTTTTTATTGTAAAATTATTTTCCATGTAGCCTGGCATTTACTGACTTAACCTCTGGAGATATCAGAGATCTTCATTAGGAGCTGATCTCAGAGGCAGAGATATTTGATATTATTACCGTGAGCAAAAAAAGTAAAAAATTATTTTACTACTTGTATTCTAAGTTTGTCTTACACCATTTGATTATTTTGAACAGCAAACAAATGAGCTGAAGAAGATTTTTACCATAATTTAGTAACTGCAACAGTAGGACAGCAAACAATGTGGCAAATGAACTCTTGTTTCTTGTTACTGTTTTCTTTCATTTGAAATGTCTTTTGCTTTTTCTAACACAAAATGCTTTCTGATTGCAACAGCAGAATTTGTTGTTCATCAATAGCTTTTCTGGACTTCACAAACCTCTCAGTCTGCTCTCTGGTAATTGATTGAATTGAAAAAAAAAATAAAAGTCACTAGTATTTAATTACCCTTGAAATGGTCTTTATTAATTTTGAAATCAACTCACTTGACACAACACTGATGGATCTGGAGAGCTGATAAACACTTTTTAACAGGGGCCATTAGAAGAGTGCATTAAAATAATTCAGGGTGGTCAATGGCAGCTTTATTTTAAGCATCAGTGTATTTGTTTTGCTAACACCTTGGGTACGTTTGTTTAGCTGTGGCTTAAGCTGGCAAAACAATTCATCCCTGGATAACTGAAGTATTTAAACATCTCCTTTCCCTCTTGGAGCTACTGCACATCTGCTGGAAGTGGTTTGTAGAAATAATCTGAGTTTTTTCTTGAGTTTTTAAGACAACTCCAGAAGAGTTCACGTGCTGGACATACCCTGGGCAGGGGAACCTGCTGGCTGTTTTCTTCTCCCCTCTCACAAATCCTTGCTATAGGCAGATGATCAAAGCCAAATCCCTTTCAGTCTCTTTATCCCCATCACTGGTAATTCCCACAGAGATTGGGATAATCTGGAGTTTCTCCCCTGTGCCCCAGCCCCTCTGGCCTGTCTCAGAACCTGGCTGCAGGCAGGGCTGATTTCTTTGGGCCATTCCCGAATGCCTGCCCTGCTTGTGGCATGTGAGGAACTAGAGAGTGACTGAGGCTGTGCCAGGAGCCAGGACAGCTGAACACGTGGAAGCAGCAGCTCTGGGACATCAGAAATGAGCCTTAGAAACATTAACAAGATCAAATTCTGTAGACCTGGTTCTTTTTGTCCTTTGAAGTGGAACTGCCCAGTTTATTTCTGATATTTTGATGTTTGTTTGCCTGTGTTTTTTTCCCCTTGTGGGAGGATTCTAATGGAAAGTTAATCTTTATTTTTCAGTGTTTGTTGCTGATTTGCTGGTTTATATCCCTGCAGTTATTTTATATTGTTTTTCCTTGAAAGAAACATCTGCTAAAAAAAAGGCAAGTACCTGGTGTGTGTAAATTAAACAAAGAAAACACTGTTAGAACAGGGTAGAAATGTAACACTGAGTTAATTAACACCTAGAACACCCTGATGGCTTCCATGTAAAACTGATGACAGCCACTATAGCTCATGTTACAGGCTTTTCACTTAAAAGCATAAAAAAAGCCTTTATTTTATCTTACAGCAATTATTTTAAGACTTTTAATAATAAAATTTTCCATTGATTTATTACTTAAGTAGTAAAAAAACAAAAATAAAAAGATTTGTGGTGTGGCCGGGGTGGGATTTGGGAACTGCTTTGTCTTGAACACTCCTTACAGTAGATTTTGGAATAAAAAGTCTCCTGATTTTTGGAATGCTTGAAGATAGGTGTAGGTGATCTTTGAGCTATTGTAAAGGACAGGCAATATTCAATATTTTCTCATTTATGGCAAATATTTATCCTTTTTTATTCCTCAAAATATTCCTGACAGATGATTATTTGTAGAGAATAACATTCCTACGTATAGGATGCACCTTGGAGGGGCACATTTTTGTACTGGAGAAGTTCCTCTGTCTAATGTCTGATTTTGGACTAATTATTGTTCCCCTCCCTTTTTTTGGTTCTTCTTGCCAGGTTTCCAGTGCTCTCTGCATCCTGCTGTACCCAGGCCTCATCCTTATCGACCACGGGCACTTCCAGTATCCTTGTTCTGCATTGAAATGAATCCCTGGTTATGGAATTTTATAGGTGCTCCTTAGCACTTGTTAGCTGAGCACAGGGTGATTTCTGTGTGCAAAGCCATCTGGGGGGTTCAGCTCACCCCAAACAGAGATATCACAGGAAGCTGCAAGTCTGAAACATATTGGAGATAAAAATTATTGATATTGGCACAAATCAATCCCAACATGAATATCATTCTTCCCATGCCTCCAGCTCATCTCCCTGTCAGTCACTTGGCAATCAGTGGGGTTGTGACAGGGAGGAGAGTGATGGGCTGTGCTCCTGTGATTTGTGTGTGCAGAGGGAATCTCCTCAGCTCTTCCTGGGATGGCAGTGGCAGGTGGAGCTGTGTGAAATGTTCAGCTCAGGAGAAGCTGCCCTCCTGCCTTGGCTGCACAGCTCAGGGAGGTGGGTTCAGGCCTGGCTGCTCCGTGGTGCTGGTGGGCACCTGCACAGGGGGCTCTTTGTTAATAACAGCCCTGGTTTATACTGGTTTTGTACAGAACAGGCCAGGGCTGGGGGTGCAGCAGCTGCTGTGGAGGCAGGGATTTCCTGCAGGGTTCTGTGCCAGCCCTGCCACTCTGAGGTGACCAACGCTGCCCTCTGAGCACCTCCAGCAAGTCAGAGATTTGTTTCCCTGAGCTGCTGCACCTCGGCAAGATCAGGGCCTCTCAGTGTGAGTTTGCTGATGTGAAATCAATGAGGTGTCAAATACACCTGGTGATGTGGAGTGGGAAATGTGAGTGGGCTGAGAGCTCTGTGGACAAGGATGTGTTGTCACAGCTGCTTAGGTTGACAGAGGGAAAACAAAATATTGTGACATTTCTGACAATACAAGAAATACAAGGGACTGTTTACAAGGGATGGAGTGACAGGACAGGAGGCAATGGCTTCCCACTGCCAGAGGGTGCGTTTGGATTGGATATTAGGGAGAAATTCCTCCCTGGGAGGGTGGGCAGGCCCTGGCACAGGGTGCCCAGAGCAGCTGGGGCTGCCCCTGGGTCCCTGGCAGTGCCCAAGGCCAGGCTGGAGCAGCCTGGGACAGTGGAAGGTGTCCCTGCCATGGCAGGGGTGGCACTGGATGGGCTTTAAGGTCCCTTCCAGTTCAAACCATTCTGGGATTCTGTGTTTATTGGTTGATCTAAATTTTTCAAAAAACAAGTGAAAACCAAAGCTAATACTTTATTGCAGTTTAATAGTAAGCGTAGCTTAGTCTCTTCAAAATCTTCTGAGCTTGGGAAGCTCTTTTCAAAGTCACAAGGCAGTAACATTGTTTTTAGCAGTTATCACTCATTGTTTGAGCAGGATCAGCTGTCAGGGAACTGGACATGGGTGAGGGTGCCTTGTGTGTGTAACAGAATCACAAACCCCTCAGAAGTCCTTGAACTAAATTATACATAATTTAAACACTGAAATATTTGAGTATTTTGCACTTATCTTGTGAGAGCTGGAAGGGAAAGCTCGTGAGAGCTTTATCATTGCTCATGTAAATACCAAGAAGAAAATGTTGCTTGTTGCAGAGATCTGTCACTGCCACCAAAAGCTGGGTTGGCTGAATACATGTTACATGTGTAATTAACACACACAGAATTTGCCCTCAGGTTTGCCTGGGCAAGCTCTGAATCAAACTTTGGAAATATAAAAATAACACTTTCAATGGAAGTAAATTTTTCTTTATCTCTGGGGGCAACATAGTCACAACTTGCAAATGTGTTCTTAAAACTAACATGGCAAAACCCATTTTACAAGCTATTTCTGCTTTCCCTCAGGGCATTAATTGCTGTCTTCTAGAAGTGAGATGTGCATCTTGTCCTTGACATAAAAAACCATATACAACTCAGTGAGCCTTGGCTTGGCCTTGTGGGCTGTCCTTTGTTTGTCCCATGACTGGGATCTCCTGGGCTCCGTGACGTTTTGCTTGGCCTTAAATTATAAGCAAATGGAGCTCTACCATTCCCTGCCCTTTTTTTGCTATTTACTTGGAAAGTGCTTCAAGAAGGGACTGAAAGGAAAGGGGTAAGTGGGTTTAAAGTGTTTTATCTTCCTCAGGAATCGGCCTGGCACGGGGAGTGGGGTGCACGTGGGCATTCCTGGATTCATTTCTGTGGGAGGCAGCTGTGTGATGTGCTGCAGTCCTGCAGGATGAGCATTGCTGCTGATTTCTGGGCAGCACTGCTGGCTTGCTGTGCTGATGTGCTGTCCTGTTGCAGGTTGGTGCTGTTGGTTAAACTGGCAGGGACAGTGCTGTTGTCCTTCGCTGCCTGCTGGCTCCCGTTCGGCACCGACGTGGAACAAATCATGCAAGTACTCAGAAGACTCTTTCCCATTGACAGAGGCTTGTTTGAGGCATGCATGTTTTCTACTCCCACCCACTGCCCCGTCCTGTATTCTTAGATCGCTGGAGAAACCTTCAGCCTGACCTTTAGGATTTCATGGGGGAGACGCAGCGCAGGGCGAGTAACTCGAGACGGCTTCTTCAGCAGTCGTTTCTTGCCAGTTATTTAATCCAGTGTTTAACCCCAGCTCAGCTGGCATCTTCCAGGATATTATACCAGGAGACAACACTTATCCCATCATCAAACCCATACTTCAATCCATACATTTTTCCATTGAAATAGATTCCATAGTAATTGACAGTGTCAGAAGATGTAACCTTGAAAGTCAACGGCTTCAGCCTCTTGGGTTCTGCTCCCCTCTTTTCAATGGGACTAATTATTTTTTAAAAATAATTTTTAAATGGTGTTTTAGATACAGCCTAGAACCTCCTTTTTGACTCACCTTGTGCAGTTTCCACAATATTTTCCTAAAGTTCTAGGCCACTTCTGCTTTTGGTTTTGCTCAGGCTGTGGACATGCCCACGCTGAAGGTGCTGAGTCTTAATCCAGTAAATTCCTCATTTACCAAATGGCAATGCCACAGAAATTGGGAATGAAAGAAAGGTTCTCAGGTCACAGGGAGCTGCTGCTGTTTTAATTAGGGCACGAGTCAATATTACACTTCTTACAGCAGATTCTCAATTTCAGGTTTAACCCAGAAAATGAAGCTTTGAATTTCCAGGTTGTCACAGGGATTAAAACAAATTCTCATGTAGTTTGATTAATCTTAATTATTATTTTAATCTTTTTTAGGTGTAAATAATATCACAACTGGCACTTTTTTTCCCAAAAAAGTTAGTGCTGATGTACCAAAGGCAATGGAAGTGTTCTTAGTGTATTCTATGCTAGCTTATTTAAAAAACCCCAACAAACACCAAACAACCTCTCCAAAAAAGGCACTCTCAAAAAAACCCAGTGAACCTTTTCCTTGAGAATTATTTGGAATTTATAAAGGAATCATTTTGGTCACCACACCTTTTATTCAGTATCAAGTTTAAAAATAAAATCTTTAAATGACAATAACCAATGAGTCTGAAAGAGCTGGAAGATTTTAGTCTAATATTAGCCCAAATATTTTCTGAGCTGCTCAGGGCAGTGACTTGCTGGATGCTGATGGAGATAAAATGAGAATTTGTCCACGTAAGCAGCGCTCAGTAACTTGGCCTGGGGTGTGACAGGTTGTGTGCAGCTCCCATTTGCAGCCCAGGGTGTGCCAGTTCCCATTTGCAGCCCGGGAACACTTGCTGGTGGCTGAAAAATCAGCCTGGCTGTGAGGAGGAGGAGGAGGAGGTTGCTGGTGCTGCCAGGGCTGTGTTCCCCGGAATCCCCGGCAGATTCCGGGCGCTGGCAGCGGGGACCGAGGGGGCTCAGTTGCTGCTGGGAGTTGTGTCTACACAGCTGTGCCTCCAGCAGCTGTCTGGGGATGAGTTTCACCAGCAGGAGAGCTGCAGTTACAAATTTAATTTTGAAAGTGATCCTAGCACAAGTGCTAATGTCTTTAGACTTCTTGATTTATTGGGGGTTAACCCTGTCAGTGCTAGCGAGCAGCGAGCACAGGCAGGTACAGGGGGAAAAGTGCAGCACAGAGTGGGAAAGGGTTCATGTGGGCCAGGGTTTACTCAGGGACAGCCTTAACTCCACAAAATTTCTGCTCTCATGGGTTAAGTTGTGGTCTCTTGTGCTGAAGAACTATTTCTCACTTATTTTAGAGCATGTTTTAATTGGGTCTCTTGAAACTTTGCATTTTTGAAGAGCAGAATCATCCCCAGTGCATCTGAGAACGTGATGTACACCTGCAAGTGTTATCTGCACTCTCATGGTAGAAACCAAACAATCCCCACCTCCCAAGCCCCATTGCTCCCACAAACATGAGTGTAATTATATAGAATTATCACTGATTACCTTTTTATTTCCTTCCAGGATAAAGTAGCCAATATTTGGTGCAGTCTAAGTGTCCTTATAAAGATAAAGAATGTAATATCCCCTCGAACTCAGCTAAAACTCAGGTAAGATATAACTGGAGTGCCTTAGGTAGTTTTTATCTGCAATATTTTTTGCAAAAGGAGTAAATCTTCTCAAACTGTGTTCTTTCCTATACTCTAGTTTTCTGCCAGGTCATGAGAGAGAAATACTGGGAATATTTATGACTGAAAAATTTCTTGCTTGTTTATATAGTGATTTAAGCTGCTTGGTTAAAACTGAGTTAAAATTTGCAAATTCAAAGAATTCAAAAATTTTTCAATGCTCTTAGAAGTCAGAGCTCCCAGTTCTCCTTGACTCAGTGAAGAATTCAGGTCTGGCTCTGCAGAGTGAAGTGTTAATGGCTGTAGTCACTCACGTATTAAAACTGTTTTTCTTCCCCAATCCTTTAGTTTTGCTGTAACATTCCTGAGCCTGCTGCCTGCCTGTATCAAGCTCACTGTCCAGCCTTCCCTGCGAGGGTTTAAATTTGCCTTGGTGAGTGTTGGCTTTTCACTGCTCCTTGTTTTGTATCCACCACAAGCACTGGAGGGCAACCAGCAGTGCCAACAGCACTTGTGCAGGGCACAGAGGGGTGGGAGCCATCAAATGCTGAAGGAATTGGTTAAAAAGTGTTTTACTTCCTCAAATCCAGGGCTCTGACCTGTCCTTTAAACCCAGACTTGTTCCTTAAGCTCAGTTTTCTTTATTTAACTCTGTATTTTTATTATCTTCCTCTGAAGAGCCTTTGGAAGATTCCACACACATTTAAACCTCATACAGAATTGGGATTTCTCCTCTTTTTGTTTGGCTTCCAAAGTGCCAGTTGTTCTTCCTTCACTGGCTGCAAAATTCCATTAAAAATTCCCCATATGGACATTGTGAGCTCGTGAGTGGTTTGAAAATATAATGATCCTCTTTTCCAAAATGTTTGCCTTCTCTTAGTCACATCATTGAATTGAAGCACATTGCCATGACTCCCATGCAAAAACTGAGTTCTCCTTGAAATCAAAAGTAGATGGAGCTGGGTTCTAAGTTTCAGAGTTACAAGATAATTTCCCTTTTTAATTTTATCACACCATTACCTAAAATTTATCCTAAGAACTGGTTGGTTTTATGTGTTTTTATTTGGTGGGGGAATAAAAAGACAATTTGTTTACTTTTTCTGTTGGCTGGTCATGATGAGGAGCAAAACTTTATGTCAAAACTGGGGGTAATTTTTACCAGGAGTGGGATTTGCCAGTGCCTGTGTGTGGGAATATTGTGATTCCTTGCTCTTGTCAGGGAAGCTGAGCAAGACTGAGGCTCTACCTGAAGGACTCTGTGACTAATTCTGGATAAACTCCCAAACAAGGTGGTTTTGGTACGTGAGGGTGGTGACAGAGCTGCTCTGGGTGCCTGGGGTTTGCACTGGAGGAAAGGATGAAAGTTAATTAGGAAACTGAGCTCATTTAGCATTGCCCCCACGCAGAGCCTGTACCTGCAGACACCAAAGCAGAGCTTTGCAGTCACAGGCTGACACATCTCTGCTCTCTCTCCTAAGGTCAGCTGTGCCTTGTCATTTTTCCTGTTCTCCTTTCAAGTCCATGAAAAATCGATTCTTCTTGTGTCAGTGTAAGTAAATTATTTTTCTGTGGATAAAATTCGATCTTTTCCTCATCTTCTTATTGCATGCTGCTTTCACTTACAAATATATCAGATTTTAACAACTCTGCACATTTGCTTTTCTAAATCACTTGTAAATGAAGGTGTGCAAGTACAGCCAGGCTGGTCTGTCCTTTCACTGGGGACAGTCAGCAGCACTGCTGTTCCATGGGGATATCCTGCATGGACTGGGAGTGCTGTTTGATTAGAGAAGAGTTGATATCTCTTTTTCTTCTCATTCCAGCCCAGTCTGCTTAATCATAAATGAAATCCCCTTTATGGCCACGTGGTTTCTACTGGTGTCAACTTTCAGGTGAGTTGGAAACTCTTAAACAGAGCTGGAGAGGGGCTAGAGACAAGACCTGCAGGGACAGGACCCAGGGAATGGCTCCCAGTGCCAGAGGGCAGGGCTGGATGGGATCTTGGGCAGGAATTGTTCCCTGGCAGGGTGGGCAGGCCCTGGAATAGAATTCCCAGAGCAGCTGGGGCTGCCCCTGGATCCCTGGCAGTGCCCAAGGCCAGGCTGAAGCACCCTGGGATAGTGTCAGGGTTGAAACAGGATGATCTTTTAAGATCTCTTCCAACCCAAACCCACCTGTGATTCCATGAAAACCCTGTTTTGCCCCAGTTCTAGTAGGGATCAATGTATTTACTGGTTTTCCCTCTTCTCCCTGCATGCTGTGGGTGCCCCTGGGGTGCTGCTGGCCCTGGCCCCCCACAGCCTGCTGCCCCTGCTGCTGAAGGACGGGCTGCTGCTGCCCTACGCCGTCACCACACCCGCCTTCCTGGCCGTGTGCCTGGCCTCCTTCTCCATCCTGGAGAAGACCTCAGCAGAGGACCTACAGCTCAAGGCCTTTTCCCTTTCCCTCAAGGGTTACGTGTCCTGGTTTAGGTCCTTTCCCAGGATTGTCAGGAGCCTGGTAAGCAAATGTTATTCCTTTACCTCTTACTTGCAGCTTTTCCAGCACTGAGGTACTGGTGCGGGGGGGGCTGTCGCTTTTTTGTGCCGTGAGGAGGGGTGCAGAGCACCCAGGAGTGGAGTGGCAGCTGAGCTGTGTGAGGTGTTCTTGTCTTGCAGTTCCTCCTGTCCCTGGCCCTGATGGGAGCGCTGTCAGTGCTGAGTGCTGCGGTGCCTCCTCCCCAGCGCCTGCCCGATTTGTTCCCCATGGCCGTGGCCGTTGTTTCCTGCCTCCACTTCCTGCTGTTCCTGGTGTATTTCAATGTTGTGATACTCTGGGACTCCAAGAATAGAGGGCAGAAGAAGATCAGTTAATGAAGCTGAAGCTGCAGGACTGAGAGGTGCCAGCACTGCAGAGGAACCTGTGTGTGATGGACACAACTCCAGGAAAGCCAGGAAAAACCTTTTGCTTATTTAAACACAAAGCAGTCAGAGACTGTTTTAAAGGAGAAATATTTTGAAGAGCATTGGGAATGGGATTTGATTTGTTTTCTTGGGAAGTGTCACACTTTTGTTACCATTTGTAAACCTAAAATGCCTAATAAAGGACCAAATTTTGAATTAATGCTAAAATACTCTATTAGCAAGAGCAGCATGAAGTTTTCTCCTTTCCCTGCATAAAAAGCACAGGGAAGCAGTGCAGGTAAAGTAGAAACTCGTGCTTGGCAGCACTGAAGTTGTGCTGCGTGGCTTTGTGGCACAAACCTGGTTTGTGGCATCGGTCACTGTCCCCCTTTGCTCTGATGTGGCTCTGAAACTGCTGCAACTCTTCAGCAGGACTGAAAAGCCAAAACTTTTGGTTCTGCTGCAACAAAAGCTGAGGTGCTGCAGTGCAGTTTGAAAATACCCAAACCCCTTATTAAATTGCACAGCAATTTGCAGATGTAAACTGAACTCAACTCTGCAATTTCTCCCTGGGCACAGCTCAGCCTCCAAAGCCAATAATTCTGAGAATACAAATTGATTGAGTAATTATAAACATAACAAAGCATGGAGGAAGAAAATAAATCATAAAGCAATTTAGGGTCGTATAGTTTAATTAGGAGTCAGTCTACCCGGGTTTTTTTCTGTATCTATATATAAATATAAAAGAAGCACCCCCCCCCTCCCCTTGTTTAAAGGCTTCCCCTGTCACATTCCAGGCTGTCACTGCCCTCAGCCTCAGTGTGTGAATCAGCTGTTCTGGGCACTTCCAGCTGGGCCACTTCTGAGCCCTGGCACTGAGTCCCACCAGCTCCGTGTATTTGTGCACTTTTTCCAGGCTTATTTGTTGTGGAAAAAATACCCCCAGGCAACAGTGCCCTGGAAAAGGGGCTCTGGAGCAGGAACTAGAAGGGTATTGGGGGTGAGAACAATTCAGTTTCCCTACACTGCAACAGTCCCCTATAAAAAAACAAAACTTCCATCTTTTCACAAGGGTTTAGGATTTTCTGCGTGTCCCACTCATAACTGTGGCATGCAAGAGCTCTGCCCACAGCACGGCCTTTCTGCAAGTGTAGGCTGACGGTTATCGGGACACAAAATGGGAATCTTTGTCTCCAGAGGCTGTGAAATCCCAAACCTGCCGTGTTTCCCCCAGGAACCTGCCTGGTCCTTGGCAGCCTGAGGAAGGGCTGTAAGGTGTGACAGGGAACTGAAGGTGGGAGCCCAGGTCTCATTAACCCCGTGGCCAGCAGAGCCCGGGCCCATCCTTCACCCATACCCAAACATTAGTTTTGGGTCTATCCCTTTCCTTTGTCCTTGAGGTGGCCTCGGGGGGTGATAAAGTGAGAGTCACCCGATCCACCTTGTGTGGAATTGGAAATGGTTCTTAACAGCCCCAGCTGCTGCCGAGGCAAAAGCCTGGTACAGCAGGAGGTCAGAGGGTGCTCAGAGGCTGGGTGTGGATGAGAGGCTGAGCAGCAGGAGCTGGATGGACAACTCCATCTCCCTTAAAACACCCGATTTAGGAATTGCCACGGGGGAGGTTCTGCTGTGCCTCACTGCTGTCCATCAGCACCTTTGCTCTTGGTTCCTATACAAGCTCAATGCTGTTCTTCCAGGACTGCCCAGAACTGCTCTATTTAGGCCAGCACAGTCAGTTCCAGACTCTTCTCTGATCCATAACTGTTTAATTTCCAGCTCCAGAGGTTACAGCCAGGTTATAGAAACTCTGACCTCCAAAGCCAGGGCTGAGGCACCTACACACACAACAACCCCCAGCTGAAAGCCTGACAGACCAGGGGGAAATGAGAACACAATTCCCTCAAACACTTTCAAACCTTCTTCCCAGTCTGACTGCACAGGCAGTGAAGTGCAAAACCATTTTTATTAACTGAAAACTCCCAAAGCTTGAGCGTGTGCGTGTTCAGCCACACCCTGAACACATTCATCATGCTGCTGCTCAGAATTTTAGTTGCAAAAATCAGTTTATTTGAGGATGGGACTTTGCAGTGGTAGAAAGGGCATTCAAGTGTTTGTGCTGGACTTTGATAAGAACAAATCATTTTACTGCACTTTTTCAGCCTAATTACAACGATTTGGGAATTCACTTGGCTGGAAGGGTGAGGCTGAGGAGAAGGAAAAAGAAAAGCAGCTGTTTTATAAAAAGAGTTGGTTTATATAAAACAAGTCTGCTCCTACAGCATTAAATGCCAAAACTAAACTCCAATGTTGACCTAAAGCAAATGGTACCAGAGCCCTGTGTGTTAATGCTGGGTTGGAGGCTGAGGCCTTTTTATCCTGGGGCTGGGGTTGACTTTAGAGGAGCCCTCATGTGGATGACAAATCTGTTCCCAACTGCGGCAGCACCACCAGGGAAAGTGTTTGCAAACAACCAAAACACATCCAGGGTCGGAATAATTAATTTCTGGCACTGCAGAGCTCCCTCCAGAAGCCCCAGTTTATTTCCACACAGCACCAGCCCCACTGGCACAGGGCTGTGCAGCACCCAGGGTGGATTATTTACATTGAGATTATCTGGTTGTGCACATTGTTAAGTTGAAATAGATGCCAGAAATGTTATCTGGACGTGCACCTGCCCGGCACAGCGAGCGCTCCCCAGCTGGGATTTGCTGGGGAGATTGGTTTACACTGAGTTCTTCGCTCCTTTTAAGTCCAGTCCAGCAGATGGAGAAGTTTGGGTTGATGTGGAATGCATTTTTCACATAATGCCTGTGGGGAGATGAGGAATGACTAAAATAAATAGCAATTAGACAGCAGCATCATCGTTCATGGGATCTGCTTGGAGTTATGGGTGTGATGTGCAGTAAAACACACAGAGCCTAAGGCAGGGCAGCAGCCCCTCTGCCCGGGGCTGCAGGAACATTTTGGGATGTTTTAAGGAACAAGGACAAGTAACCAAAGGAGGAACAAACTGGTGAGGAGAAATGCTGCAACAAGGACAAGTAACCAAAGCAGCAACAAGATGAGAAACAGCACAGGATGTTTTGGTAGGGGAGCAGTTTCTAGAGTTTCTTTGTCACCAACAAACCAGGAACAAATCCCATGTGCACAGAAACAACTGAGTGCCCTCAGGTCCTTGCAGGCTGCAGGACATCCCCGAGTGGCTTACAAGAAGCACCCTGCTCTGGTCACTCTGGCCGTGCCTTGGTGCTGGGCAAGGCTGGGAGCAGGCCCAGGGGCTCCTTCCTTCTCTCCAGGAGTGAGGTCAGGAATGCAGCACTCCCAGCAGCCTGCATGTGCCCTGGGAATGAGGAAAACACAGAAATCTATGTTTATATGATAAACAACAGTGGTGTGATGACAGAATTTGTGCAAATCCTGCCTCAAACACGAGTTAAATAAGCTGCTGTGGTGGTTAAAGAACCCAGCACCTCTTTTCCTGGTGAGTGGCTGCACCTGTGTTACATCACTGGCAGTGATGCCAAAGCAGAACTTACTGTGCTACCAGTACCAGAAACTGGTGCTGCTTTTTGCTATTAATAATAAAACAATAAATATGAATCCCCAAGGATTGTGACAGCAGGGCCCAACCAGGGATTGCAGCAGAGGAACAGCCACCCCTGGATCACCCATAGCCACCCCTGGATCACTCACAGCCACCCCTGGATCACCCATAGCCATCCCTGGATCACTCACAGCCACCCCTGGATCACTCACAGCCATCCCTGGATCACTCACAGCCACCCCTGGATCACTCACAGCCATCCCTGGATCACTCACAGCCATCCCTGGATCACTCACACCTGAGCCCGCAGCAGGGCAGGGCTGGGGGAGGGTGAGCAGGTGGCTGGGAGAAGCAAAGGAAAAGTGTGCAAGGGCAGAAAGGAACTCAGGGAATGAGAACGTGTGGGGAAGGGTCTGGGAGCAGGTGCATGTGAGTGCCAGGGCTGCCAAATGTCCTGCAGCAGATGAGCAGCTCCGCTCCAGCACCCCGAGGGGCTGAAGGGAGAATTCAGAATGATATTGAACATACAAAGGGGGATTTCCAGCAGCTGGAGCCTCTCAGCTGCACACAAACCCAGCTGGGGAGGGCTCCAAACCCCACAGACACGGGGCTGCTGGGACAGGGCCTCCTCAGCTCTCCCCACACGGCACTCAGTGGTTCCATGGGGATCTCACACTGCAGGGAGTGACTCCACACCAACACCTGCCCCTGGGCTGGGCAGTGTCACCTGGGGCTGAGCCAGACCTGGTGAGCCCAGACCTAAACCAGGACTCACAAGGTTACTCCAGAAAAAGGAATCCAATCCAACTTGGTCTCAGGTACCACTTTCTAGCTTTAATCCTAATAGACATCATTTGTTTACACAAATTATCACAACAGGAAACTGTCCAATCTTGTATGGCAAGTAACAGGAAAAAGATTCAATTACAAGCTGGTTTATTTGTGCTGAATGCAATTCCATAAAGGAAAGGACTGATTTCCCTTTCATCAGGGACTGCAGCATTGGAGTAGATGGTGAGTAAAGAACCCAGACATGCCAAGACCACTGTGCTGAGCTCTGCCCGGCACTCTGAGCTCTCCTAAAAAGCAGAAGCTGCCCAGATTCACGAAAAATACCAGACTCAGCTTTGTTTTCCAAGCAAAGAATCATGGAAAGGTTTGGGTTGGGAGGAACCTTAAAGCCCACCCAGTCCCACCCCAGGGACCCCTCTCACTATCCCAGGGTGCTCCAGCCTGGCCTTGGGCACTGCCAGGGATCCAGGGGCAGCCACAGCTGCTCTGGGCACCCTGTTTCAGGACCTGCCATCCTGCCAGGGAACAATTCCTGCCCAAGATCCCATCCAGCCCTGCCTCACCTCTGAGTGAGATGTTTTTAAAGGCCCCTACAACCCTTCTCTCTCTCTCAGGATTTTTCCCTGCAGAGCTCTTGAGTAAGTTCAGCTCCATCAAACCAAAGAGAACATTCAGGGAACTCCTGGATGAGGATGGCAGCTGGAAGAGGGCTCAGGGGAGGGGACCAGAAGGTGCCTGGGCTGTGGCAGAAGGGGTGGCTGGGACAGGCCCAGCCTGTTCCTCTCCTCAGCTCCAATTTTAGGGTTCCCAGGGCCAGCAGTGGCTGGAGCCCCCCAGACCTGCTCCAGAGGGTTGGCAGAGCCTCTCCCAGCCCTGGCCCACACAGGCACTACAAGGGCTCAATCTTCAAAAGTTTCCTCTCCCGTCCAAGTACCCCCAACCATCCTCTCCCAACTTTGACTGCTCTAAAACATTTACAGATCTAAAAAACAGAGAAAAAAAATGTTCACCTGTCAGGTGATATAAAACCAATCTTCTACTAAATGTGCCAGAATAATTTTTCTCCACCTCAACCACAGTTAAAACCTTCAGTCTATTCATTACTGTCTTTTTATAGTATTTTTATTTAATAAAACCTATTAAGACTACCATACAAATCTCTTTACTTATGCTTTTATCTTTTAACTGATCAATTTTTATATTGCTGACATCCCTTCTTCACCATTTGCTCATTTAAAAATTCATAGTATATGAGCTATGTCTCTGGAGAAAACGTCTATAAAATTTGTTACAGCTGGCAAATGTGTATGAGTCAGTGATAGCACATGACTAAATGCTTCACAGAAAATAAAATTTGTTTCTGTAGTAAGCAGAACTGTTTAAATGTTATTTATTTTTATGTTTCAAAGAAAATATATTGTGAAGTGCTGCATTGATTTAATACGCAGCAATGTCTGTGTACACGCTGTACTGGGGAAATTTATGAAACCTTTGCACAACTCCTTTAATTGAATTTTCCAAATCTCTCACCACACACAAATAATCAATATCTTCTGCAGAGAAAACCAGTCAGAATTATTACAGTCTTTCTTTTCAATTTTGTTGTCATCAGCACATACAGAGCACCTGGATATTTGTAATGTCTGGATAGCAAGTTATTTACACCTCTTAAACATATAATTGCTACTAAGTGAGTCCAAACTAATGTTTCTTTTCTTTTTTATTTAAAATAATTATATTCATGGGAGAAAGCAGTATTTATTCTCATGTAGGAGTTGCTACATGTTGGAAGAACTACAATTCTTTTGAATTTTTCATTAAGCTTAATACTCTAAACTAGATCCACCAGAATTAAAAATTCATAGCTGTTGCATCTCTAAAAAGGCATGTAGGAAAATAGAGTGTAAAAACAAGGGTGAAATCTGTGAATAAATGGGGCTGGCACCTAAATCTAAAATGCAGGTTGACAGTTCTCTGTGTACTTGTCTGGGGCCTCCAGTCATATGTCTCATGTGCATTTCTGGATCTGCCACTGCAGTTAATGGCTTAATATTTCATCTGCATAGCCCAGGGTGTTCCATCACTGCAGAGCCTTGGAGCTGCCCCTTCTCCTTCCTTCCATCCCAGAACTCCTTGTGCTGCTGCACCCAGACCCCAGACTCCTTCAGTCTGAGGCTGTTTGTAAAATTCAGGTGTGGGTACAACCCAAGACCACCAAATCCTGCTGGGAAGGAGCAGTGGGAAGCTCCCCCAGCTCCTGGGATTCCTCACCTGTGCTGGGAAAAGCAGGCTGGGGGCACTGGGCTGAGTGGGATCTGTTCCCTCCCCTCCACTGGGAGGGACTCACACAGCCACAACCTCAAAGCAACAGAATGAGGAGACCTGAGTTCAGACTTAGCCTGAACAACAACAGCATTTCATCCCAGGACACAAACTGGGCAATCCCCACTCAGTGAGCAGCTGAGATCAGCCCTGGCCCAGGTGTGATGGTAGGAAACCCTCAGGAGCACAAACAGGGATATTCTTCCACAAGGAACAAGGCCAGATCCCTCCAGTGCTAGAATTTTTGCCCAGCCAGTTCCCAGACTCACTTTTCCAGCAAAGGGATAGTGGCATTTCTTCCCTGTAAATAAATACAAATTTGGGCTGAGGAAAATAAATGAGTTTTTTAGGTTAGGGTTTTACAGTTGGAAAAATCCACTGCTGTATTCCCCTTTTCCTCAGAAGATCTCCAAGGAGGAGGAAGGAAAGGTGGGGCAGACACCCAAGTACATCTAAAGGCTGACAAATTTGTTACACTTTATTTGAGATGATGTGAAAAATAAACACCCAGCAACCACCACAGCCAAGTGGTTTAGTCTTAGGACACCCAAATTCTGAACTCAAACTGACACAAAGTGGGATAAATGGTGGAATTCTGTATTTTTACCTTTTTACTTGGTTTGAGGAGGAGCTCTGATTATTAAGGAGGTGTTTATATTTTGCAGTGGTTGAGAATTGGGATTTATATTTTACCATAAATGCAGTTTTCAAAACTGGACTGGCAGGTAGAAACTCAGTTTTGGTCCCTGATCTCTCCAGCTTTGCTTTCATCAGTGATTTCAAGTGGCAAGGAATAAAATCCATGCAGTTAACCCTGATCCAGTCTCTTGGAAAGCCACCACTACTGTCTCAAGAGCACAAACCTCAGCCACTTGTGTTCACCCCACCATGAAAGCTGGGAATGTTCAGAACTCCGAGAGGATCAGATTTGCCCCTGGGCTCGGCAGGATGAACATCCCCACAGAAAAGGGAGTGGTTTTTATTTCACAGCCTGAAAAGAGTTTTCCACACCACTGCAAGTATTTGATCTCTGGAACACTCCCATGAGCAGCAGCCATGGTTTGTGTCAGAGTTTTGGGGAAGCAAAGTGTCCAGCTGGAGCAGCTTCCCCTCTTAGAACCTTCACTCCTGGAATCTCCAAACCTGTGAAATTTTCCTTTAAAACGTGCACATCCCAACCTACGCATCCCTTCTCAGCACATTTTGGACTCCCAGACACTGACTTGATTCCTCTCTTGGCAGTTGTTTTACAATTTGCTTACTTTCTATTCAAAAATATTTTGTTTACTGTAAATTCAAGTCATGGGCAAACAATGATGCCCTTTTTCCATGCTGGTCACCCAAAATGATAAACTGAGCTCTGCACAACGCTGCCCATTGAGCCAGGAATGTTCTGTATGAAGTTGTTTTAAGAGGAGGTTTTTTTATGTAAAGTAAATAAATTTCATGCCTCACCATGTGATGATAATGTGACATTCCATCTGGACCAAGCCACAGAACAGTCATAAGTTTTAAGCCTTGCCATAACTAATTAAAAATAATTATGAAAAACCCACATCTGAAACTAAAAGGCAAAGGAAAACATCTCCAGATGCTTCTCTTTGATCACAAAGTTCTCTGCCTCTCCTGCTACCACATTTTCAAGACTGCAAAATTGAATTTATTCTTTGTGAAAGCAAAACTGACATTGGAACTTAATCAAAATCGCTGAGGTTCAACTCGGAATTGTCTTTTCCACCCTACCTTCACAAAATATCTCTCATCTAAGCAGCCTGGCTGTGTGTTTGGTGCTGGGGGCTGCTTTCTGGAGCAGGGATGGAGCTCTCAATGTGTGTGTGGTGAGCAGGAAGGAGCAGAGCACAAAGGAAGCAGCGGCTGTTTGCCAGTGCCAGCCCAGGCAGGCAGGAGCTGCGGCAGGAGGACACAGGGAGCTGTAAATCACCACCAGCACACTGCACAAATCAGCCCAATTCCTTCCAAAGTGCTGTCACTCCTTTCCATTTGCGGCTCATCTGCTGCGGCCCAGCAAATCTAAGCTTGATCAATTTTCTGTCCTTTAAGAGAATTCCCCACAGCAGAGATGCCACCACTGCTCCTGATTTCGGGTTTGTTCTGCTCTCAGATTGGAAGTGTGAAGATAACAGAAATATCAGAATATCCCTGGAGGATGGTTGTTGATTTTACTGAGTGTGAGGGAATTAAACCGTCCTCTGTGCGTCCCCTTCCTTCCTGCCAAGGCACCAAAGCAGCTGGGGATGAAACACCACCAGCTCCCAATATTTTCACAGCACTGGTTATGAAGAAACCTCAGAGCTGGGATTTCAAAGCCCTCTGGAATGGGTGAAATATCCCCCGAAAAATACAGAGTGGAAAAGGTTTTGCTGCAAGACTGATACTGAAAACACAGTGGGAGGGAGGAGGATGAGGAAGAACAAGGATAATTGGGATATACAAAAAGTATGGAAAGTCTTCTGGACCATGCCACAAGTGCAAGGCCATGAATGATTCCTTCTCCTTGTATGGGGAAATATCCAATACAATGAAAATAGCATCAAATATTCAATTTACATTTGCAGACTATTCAGAAGAAACACATTTGATTATCATTGTTTCCATATCCTAAAGGTTACCCAACTTATTTCAAGTGAAAAGAACTGAAAAGAAATCAAGCAAAAGGAATCAAAACATTTGTTATACAGGAGTCATGAAGTTTCTTACCTCGGGCAGGGACTTTTCCATGGCTTGCTTTCAACAGCTGCAGTTTTTCTGCTTGACTCACTAGTGAGGAAATAAATCCAAAATCAACAAATGTTGCCCCAGAGCTTTCAAAGAAAACAATACCTCTGCTGCCTCCTTCACTTTCAAAGCATTTCAAGGAAGAAAAAACCCTCTTGCCTATGTAACTGTGCTCAAAAAAAATTACCAAAAAATGTCAAAATTTAGTGAATTCTGACAAGTTGTGTTTCCGAGCTTCATCCCACATTTTGTTCCCATTTTTCTTTCTTCTGGTGCTGAGGTGGTTCCTAATTCAGGAATGGGGGAAAGATGTTGCTTTCCCAAGGAGCTGAGGGAAAGAGTGGACCCAGGAGTGGCAGCAAGAGGTCTGAGCTGTCCTTTGGGCTGGCTGGCTGTCTGTCCCACCCCGATGGAAACCCAGACTGTTCCCAGGTAACTCCATCCTGTCTCAGGAAGGATCTGGCATTACAGTGGGAACAGAGCAATGCATGTCCATGCAGAAGGAAAATGGAATGAGATTTGGAATACAGGTCAGGGAAGAAATGGTAATTTAAATACCAGCATGTGATGCATCGATTCCACTGTTTGGGAAGAAAATTTCCCTGGTACCTGTGGCTTTACTGTCCACCTGTTCCCAACTGCAAAAAGCAGCAGTCCAGGCACTCCAGGTTTGCTTTCTGGGTTCCTCTGGGAAAGTATTCCAGATGTGGCAGCTGTGAAGTGCCCTTACCCCAACACAACAAGCATCTGGAACGTCCATCATTTCAAGACACACGAATAGCGATTTTTAAAGCCTGGAAATTTATATTCAGCCTAATCCTGCAGCCAGGCAAACAAACAAACAAACAAACCAACTTCCTCGGAAGAGGAGAAGAAAGGCCAAGCAATCCAAGTGCAAACGTTTATCCTAATCCTCACCTAACTACCCACTAAGTATCTAACTATTTACTGACCATTTCCATGAGAAAAGGTGTTGCTTTTCCAGGTTTTCCCTCCCCCGTGTGCCTGGCTTTTATGTCCCTCCCTGGCTGGATGCACAGGGACACTTGAGGTGCATTTTTCCTGAGTCCTGGGGAGTACCGGAGGGAGTGATCCCTGGTAAATGTTCCAAAGGGATAAATGAATGTACTGAAGCCTCTCCTCACCCAGCGCTTGGGTTTTCTGCAGTTCAGCACTCAGGACACAGGACGACTGTGAGACTCCGAGGATATTTTCCAGCTCTCTACTGCCCTCCAAAGCCTGGAAAATTACAATTAAAGTCATTGTTAAATCCCATTCCCACTATCTACACCATGTCTACAACATACCAAAATCAATTTGGAAATTATTCATAAGTTTGAAATCCTTCCTTTTCTAAATAAACATTGCAATTAAAATATTTTCAATTAGTATCACTGTTCGTTGTTTTGTTTTTTTTTTTAATAAAACCTTGTCCACATGAAATAAATCAGCACAGTCCTCTGAGTACACTGAATTATTTCTCAACTATTGATGTACAGCAATGAACCTTGTGCTAAATTTAGTCAGGAAACAAAATGGGAATAAAAGAGAGCAGTGATTTGCATTTTAACATGTATTGGACTATTAAATAATGATACTTTAGTGGCAAATTAAATGGTACAATCACTTCAACACAAAAGGATGTTTAATCTTTAAAGACATAAAAATCTATGCAGTTAATTCATATTTCGAATTATAAATAATAATTGAAAACTCCTTCCTATTGGTTTTATTTGTGTACAAATTAAAAACGGAGGACATGGAAAAGCAACTCTTCTAGTTTAAAAAAATCCAAAAAATTTTGAGTTTTTTTGCATTTTCTGGATTTCCAAGTCCAGCTTGGCTGGTTTCAAGTCTTTTATTTGTTTCCCTACCCCTTCAAACTCAAATGTTGCATATAAAATCCTAATTTTGCTTTCAAATCCTATATTAGAAGTAGCTTAAAAGACAAATCAGTGTAAACCAGACCTTCAGGCTTGTCAGATTTGCTCTTAGTTTCAGGATTCTGGGCAAGGAATTTCTCACTTGGGACTGCAGTTGCAGGAACCTGTGTAAAAAAGGTAAAACAATTCCAATTATCCACATCCCCACTCACTGAAAAATCCATGTTTGCAATGTTTCTCAGAGTTTTTTCTCATTGGAATGGGGATGGATCCAGTTCAGCTGTGAGGATTTAAATCAGTGTCCTGGCCAATGTATTTTCATCTGTAAAATTAAGCATATGGAAGTTCACATGAATATTAAGTGTAGGTGTTGGTTTAGACATGTTTTTATTTGAATGCCACTGCTGGTCTCCTGCAAGCCTTTTTAAAACATTCTGAATTATTGAATGCAAACATTTCCATGTCAATGAGGCCTCTAATTACTCCAATTGTTCTGTAATTCCAGGTTCCTGTCACTAAGAAATGAGGCTGGATGTGTTGACCAAGGGATTCACTGAATCACAAAAAAAACCCCAATTAATCAATTTACAGTTTTACATCTGTATAATGTTAATATTTTATTTTCTGCTGTTTAAATGTTACCCAAACTATTCTGTCCATCTCCATCACTTGGAAGACTCTATCCTACACTGAAGGAATTTCAGCCTAATGATGTGGGAAAACATCCAGGCAAAAACTCCAGGAAACAAATTGTGAGTTCAAGTGCAACAATGAAAAGGAAGAGCTACAACTTCAAACATAGTATTTAGGTGAATAAACATCACAATTATTGTCTGCTGGTGAAAAAGAGATGCAATCACAGCCCTGCAGCCATAAGAAACTTCAAATTGAATTCACTTACGCATCGTGCTTTGTTTGAGGCTGCCCTCTCCTGGATAATCCACTCTTGGAATCTTTCTGCTCGTTCCCATCTCCTCGGAGGGTCACAAGGAAGAAGAGACACAATAAAGATAAAAATCAGACGTGGAGTATTTGAAGTACCTGAAGAAGGTGTTAGTGTGAACCTTGAGTGCTGAACAATTTTTTGGGAAGAGGAAAAACCCCAAAGCTCACTCAGAAAGCAGGATTTGGAACAGACCACACTAAATTCTAATTTACACTTTGGGAATTTGACCTCTCATCAGTTTCTGGAAACCTTGGGATTACAGCATTAATATCTGGAAGTTTGAATCATCCTGGCAGATATTTACTGTGTTCTTTCAGGAGTTTTTTATCCTATTAACTGCAGATTAACATCGAGCATTATCCTGAAAATGCTGGGATGATTGAACTATGAAATTCCCATTTCCCTTTATAAAAACTGCTTGGCTCCAAGTCCACTTTCTAAACAACCACGAAGATACTGGGAATTGCTTCCAAAGGCCCCAAATATGCTCTACTGACAATATAATATTCCAGTCTGGCATATGATGGATGGGGCAGGATAAATGTGACCTCTGACCACAAAAGACACTCTGAATTTACATGATTTCTTCAATTCCCACAGGAATCAGGTCAGAACAAAACCAGATTAAAATTTTACCTTGTCTATCAATACTTATTCCAGCAATAAAAAAGTCACATCTGACTATCAGGAATGATTTAATTGTGCCTGAAGTTGAAGACATCACAAAACGTGGGGATTTTGTAAATTCACCTTTAAGTGAAAGATTTGGAATTTACCATGGGCTTAACAAATGTACAGATCTCAGACATTCCTGTGGAATGAGGAGCTTTCCACATTTCAGTGTAATAAATCTCTTTCCTGCCATCAGACTAAAAAAAAAGCGACCACACTCAGCATTAAACACTTTGATTTCTTCTTGTTAGATCTAAATTATTACATACAAGTCTCAGCACTCAAGGATAAATTAACTTTTAATTTTAATATTTTGTAAAACATTTAGAAACACTTCAGAATGACAAAGTGCTATAAAAGTTTAAGCTTTATGATACAGTAGCTAAAAGTCAAGACCCTCAAAGATTTCATTTTAAATCTAAGTAGTCAATAGAACTTGGACTTAAATCAGTCATCAATTATCAAAGAGGTCATACTTTTAGACCAGTACTGTGGATTTTTAGGAGCAGAAATTTAAATGGACAACCTGGAATTTAAATATTACACACCACCATTTTGTAGCCAAATTCAAAATCAGACAGGGGATTTTTTCTTAATAACTAAAATCATTGAACAAGGAATTTGCTAGCAAGGAAAGTGATGCATTTATTATTATTATTATTATTATTATTATTATTATTATACTACCATATTTTCTAGGAGTTGTACTGCAAGGAAATAAAAGCTCTACAGAGAAAGATGACAAAATGTCCCTCTGTATTCTTCTTTTTAAAATAAAAAAATTATAGCAGGTGATCTTAACATTTAAAGAGTTGCTTTGAACACAGGGTTCCTTAACACTTAAAGAGGCCACAACCACAATATTTTTAATACAGTCATAAAAGCAGCTCAGCCTACTGAAAATCTGCTTCTTGAGTAGTCAGAGTCAAAAACTGTGACTGTGTAATTAAGTGAACATTTATCCTAAAGTGAACTGGAAATAATACAATTATAATCTTACAAAGGTGTATTCGCTGAGAGCTGCTGACAGTCAGCGTTATGTTAATTAAAAATTCTCTCACTCAGTTGTTTTAGAAACACCCCCAAGCTTTACTCTGAAAAAAATTCAAGCTTTAAGACCCAACATTGGCTTTTCCAGAAGAGATTCTTCAAGAGGATAAAGAAATCAAACATAGCAGATGGGAGAGAAGTCCCTAAATCCAGCCAAAAACCAGGAAAATGGAAAGATGGAATGCTCAGCTCACCCTCTTCTGGGTCATTCCTGGGATTTTCTGCCCCGTGGCTGGTGGGAGACGAGAAGGGGCTGATCTGGCGTGTGCCTGTGGTGGGGGAGAAGGAGCCCAGATTGTTCCTTTTGGCCTTCTGGGGGGTTGCATCAGGTGCCTGAAACAGAGAAAAATACAAAAATAATCCAGATGAATAATGAATATTGACAAAACCTCTCTGAACTTTTACTACCTAAGATATTCCTAAGTAATTCCTGGCTTTATGTATTCCCATTATGGAAAGCCCATGTTAAATGCTGTGGTGGGGTGACTTTGTGTTCATCGAGCTTCTCTGTCACTCCCTCTCCTCAATAAAATGAGTTTAACTCTAAAAGAGAAAAAATCCTTTCAAACACTTTGTCTCCTAGTTTCCATAAAGAAAAAGTATGTGTTTTCCAGGGATTTAGGTATTCTGGCATGATCACCTTGATGGTTGGGTTTTTTTTAGAGCAGTCAAACTGAGTTTTTATTTTTCTTACAGTAATGAGAATTTAAGACACAAATATTTTTAGATTTTAATTGTACCAAAAGTTATTTCTAAAAATTTTTTTAAAACAAGTGATCATTGAAAAAATCCAAAGTGAGTCTCTTAAATCCAAAATTTTGTCTGTGGTTCAGGGTTTCAATATGTCTAATGATGTAAGAAGAATTATTTAATGGTGTTGAAGAATTTGTGCAGAGTTTTCATAAGAATTATGCAATGCTGGAATATGAACTGGGATTATCTGGGACATGCTGTAGCATGGATGCTGAATTGCAAGGATGAGAAACTGGGATTTTCTGCACATTTCATGTACAGAAATAATAAAAAAAACACCCAAACTTTTACTTTACAACCCACAAATGCTACTGCTGGTCATAGCAGCGGGATTTACAGCAGATTTTAAATATTTAATTTGCTGCCCACTTGCCTCTACCTTGTTTTAGTCTCAAATACCTTAAATAATTTCACACCTCTCATTTACGCTCTTAAACTAGGCCTGATGAAAACCCTCACTCTGTCTTGCCACATTCAAGGAGGTTAAAGAAATGTTTCCAATCATCTTGAAATGAAATATTAATTGTAGTATCAATGCAAATTTAGGGGTTAATATGTCATCAAATCTCCTTTTCAACAGGGAGAACCTCCAAACATTTCAGACTATTTTTCCTGCTTGAACAGCATTCACCTCACCCATTTCTGGATACAGGTAAGGTTATGTTAAACAAAATCCCTGCAGCACTTACAAGGACAGTTTTTATTTGTCAGTAAGATTTTCTCTTCCAGGAAGAAGAATTTTACTCCAGTTATGCAATTTTTTAACAATACCACACTAAGATTCCAAAAAGCTAAAAATACTCATTCCTGATCTGCTTAGCTCATGAATATTTTGATCCATGGAATGAGGAACTCTTGATAAAAACAGGGAAGGATTAAACAGCAAAGATTAAACATACATTTCACCCAAACTATGAGTTTACTACTTTCTGTTCCTTATTTCCTTCTATAAAGTTATTTAACTTAAATCTTTGACATGCACCTATTAGAGACATTGTATGAACTAAAAATCAGTGTAAAGGCACATCACTGAGCCTCCACTGAAAGTTTCTATATTCAGATGGGCTTTTCTTCAGCTTTTTGCTGCTTGTAACTGCAGGTAAGCATTGAGTAACTCTTTTTATCTTGTGGGAAGGGATGGCTTTAGGGCAGGAAAAGCATTCCCTGGAATTTCAGCTGGACCACTTGTCTACAAAAATGTTACTTCAGCCCAAGAAACAGATGCAAAATTACAGTCACAGCTGCATTCTGAGCAGAACAAGTTGGGTAATGGTACACTAAGCTGCTAATTAAACTGCTAATGATTTTACTTTAATGCCACTGTGGTGTTTTGCCACCTCTGTTGAAGTTTTCAAAAAATAAGTATCTAGAAATTTTTTAAATGGCCAATTTCTACCTTGCTCAATACCAGTGAGGCCTCCAAATATGTGCTGCATATACAGAAACCTCTTCCAAACGACCCAGGCTTGGAGATTTATTGGGAGCTTGTTTTGCTGACCAGCTCTTTCTCTCTGTACTTTTCCAAAATCTTCCTTCCTTTCCCCCCTGCCATCCTCCCCAGCTCCTATGCACTGCTGGCTGCAGCAACAGCCACTGTGGGAGAGAATAAACTGACATATGTCACGACATGCTGGTGGCTGAGAGGATGCTGGAGCTGCATTTACAACAAACAACAGCACCAGTACAATTTTATTTTTATTGTGATAACTGCGGTGAAATTGATGGCAGCGTTAGGAGTTTATTGTTTCATTATGCCAGATTAGCTGAGGGAGGTAATTACAGCCCTGACATGAACATGCCTTTAATGTTTTCATTTCAATTTTGCAGTTTCTAATATGCAGATTACAGCATTATCATAATTCCATATTGTCACATGTACAATTACATGGCAGAACGTTTGCTTCCCAGGATAATGGAGCTAATTTCTAATAAATGATTTCACCAAGGATCTTAACTCATTCAGCTCTTGGGTAAATAGTGATGGCAATAACAATATGCACATTTTTCAAGTGATTCATGCAGATGTACATTACTTAACGCCAGGCAGTTCTGTGACAAATGAAATACAATCAATTTTATACTAATATTTGCAGCAGTAATTTTGTGCTTTAAGATTTGCCCAGACAACATCCAATCTGTAACAACATAAAGGCAGCTAAAATGAAATACATTGTTTATACCCACATTTATTTTTGCACACAGATATATATACATATATATTTATACAGCCCAGATGGCTCCAGACACCAAAAAAATACTTACATCATCTTTTCTAACCATGTCCAAATTTAATGCTCTCTTAACCCTGCAAGAGAAAAATATGGACAGGTTTTATGGTCATGTAGACGCAAAGATTTCTGTTAGTAAGGTCAATAATTGATAATGTTAAAGATAGTTTCCTTTTCTGGTTTCATATTTACTGATGTCATGCAAAGCAAATCCATTCCCTGAACCAAGAATGCTGCTTGTTTAGAAGGATAAAGTGTTTGCCTAAGGAAATCTGATTCTCCATTTTATACCAGAGATAAAATCAAGGCACTGAAGTAAAATCATGCTGAGTATTTATCTTTTCTCCAAGACTATAAACAACAAAACCCCCCTCAAAGCATTTCCATTTACATACCTTCTGAGCAAGGCTTGGAATTATTTTGCCATTAGTCGAAATAATGTTTAAGACATTTAAGACACAGGTACAGGCAAGGTGAAAAAAGTAGTTTTCCCCATCATTTTAGCTCTTAACATGATTCAGTGCTACCAGACTATGACTTAACTGGGGAACAGATGCTCTATGTCTTTACAGGTCCCCAAACCATAAGAAACTGTTTGCTTCCCTTCTTCCCTCTCCTGATTCAGGAACATGCCAAGCTCTCTCTGCAAAATCTGCTCCTCTGAACTGGATGCCCAGCTGTTAATGGCAACACTGGAAGAAGAAAGCTGAATATTTATAATACTTTATATGGTACAGCTGTCTGCTAAAGAGCAGTCATCAAAATTTTATTGAATGCAGGCAAAATGCTCCAAGGAAAGAAAGGTCAACATAAATTAAGACTATTTTTCCCAGAGACAACCGAAACTTTTTAAGCACATTCCTAAATCTTAACAATAGTTTAAAGCATGATGTAAAACAATGAGGAAAAAAAAAATCTTTGTAAGAACAGTTCCCAAGAAACATATATATTACATTGAATTAAACAAGGTTTGGAATATACATCATATTTCAAGAACTTAGTTCAGTTTTCATCTTGGAAAAAGAATGTTTTGCCTTGTAAGGAATTTAGATGACCTCATTCCAAACATATCCTTTTCAAATTTATGTTGCTATTCCAAAACTGTAAATTAAAGGATTGGGAAAATAGAATGGATACACATCTTTGATATGTAACTCAGTCAAGGGTCTTATATGAAAACTGTTTTACAGCTATCTCTATTACAAGAAGGGGAAAAGAAATAGCCTATCTAAAAAAGCCAAGTAAACAGGTAACATTTAAATTAAAAAAGCCTCTGAAATTCTGGCCAAAGGGCAGCTCAAGCTGTAACAGTTTGATGGAATTCTTTACAATGTATTTCTTTTTTAAAGAGAATCCCATATAGCTCAAGGAATCCGGACTCCATTACAGCTTCCAGCTCATGGCAGCAGAGAAATATTCCACTTATTAATGCATCCACACTGCAAGGATGCTCTGGGGGCCAATACATTTGCATGTTACACTAAGGCATGTTCTGATGGAAGTTTTTATGACAGATGTCAAAAGGAGCTGAAAGCCAAATGAAAGCAGGATCAGGATCACAGCTGTAGGATGAAATAAATGAGAAACCACATGAAAATCCTGGTAAATTATAAACACTGAGAAGATTCTTAGGGGGAAAGTTGTGCACTGATCAAAGCCATGTTCTTTGAAGTCTGTCAAATGTTGTGCACAGCAACAGAGCAGCATACAGCCCAAATTCCTCTCTGCAAGCACCCTGAACTATGGGAGAAGAGATGGAGTCTCTTTCCAAGCTCTTCAACATTGGAAAGAGCTGGAATATTGTACTGAAAGACAGAATTTTAGCTTTAGGAGGCCAACCTTGCCTAGTGTTACCCAACAGCCTGGCTTGCTTGGGGGCTTGTTTTTACTGATCATCTTTTCAGTGCCATAACGTGAAAAGTTAAATCAGAATTATTGAAAATTTATGCTCTAAGTCTACATACAGACCCTGTCTTAGACCCCTGAAACCAAATTTATCCTGACACCTCACATGAAAACCCTGTTGGCCAAACTCGTCTCTCAGATCTTCCAAAAGAAGAATGTGGTGAAAAAACACTATGTGTAAAGAAAAGTATTTTAGGAAACAACACAGAGAGCACCACTTTTAATTTGGTTTATTTTTTTTTATATGGCTCACTTTGACTGTGGTGGTAAACCAAATGTCAGAGTGGAACAAGAAAAGGAGACAGAAAGATGAGGCACATGTGGTAAGAGTATTTCACCTGAGTTTCCTAGCCCTGAATTAGCCTGACAAGGCTTAATAAATTTCTTAACCATGATGATGGCACACGTTTACAGCCAGTTGTACAACCTGCAGACATTATTTTGTGCCTAATATTTACCAGGTTAAAGAACTTCCTTTACTTATCTCCAGAAGCCCACAATGAGCAGAGATACATAAGAGCAGCAGCAGACTTACATGACTTGATTCATTACTTACTGCTTGATGCATTGCAAAATATAGGAGAAAAATGAGAAGGATTTATTCCCATCGGAGACAAAATGAAGAGATACAGCCTGATGGAAAATGGGCACGGAGGGTGTCATGCCCTGATCTCCACAGGCCTGCAATTCCTTTCCACATCTCTGTATCTGAGTGTGTGTGAATCTATAATTTAGTCACTGCTGTAATTGCAGTAAATCCTGTTGAATCACTTTATAAATATTAAATCAGTCAGTGATTAAGTGCTGCTAAACTCTTTTGCACCTGTATCTTTTGTATCCATATCCTTGTCCCCATGACCCTTTTGCATCCCCCTGGTCTCTGTGTATATCATTCTAAATTGATTCTAATCCCATTTTCCTGTGTATGCTCCATCTGTGTAGCGACCAATAGAGTGAACCTTGCCATCAAACCCTGTTGAAGCCACACTTTCACAAATTCATATCAAAACCTGCTTTCTTTTGCCAATCCCTTCAGCGCTGGCCAAGGGAGGGGTCAGAGGATGGAGCTGGGCTCTGCCTGGTGGTGCCCAGCAATGGGACAAGATGCAGTGGGTAGAAAATGATGCCCAGGAGGTTCCACCTGGATATGAGGAAGAACTTCTTTCCTGTGCAGTGACTCAGCACTGGAACAGGTTGTACAGAGTGTGTGGAGTCTCCTTCACTGGAGATATTCCAGAACTGCCTGGATGCCAGCCTGTGCCATGTGCAGGGGACGAGCCTCCTTGGGAATGCTGGACAGGATGACCCGCTGTGGTTCCATCCAAGTTGAACCATCTTGTCATCCTTCTTGCCCCTTTCCCACACAGCCCCACGGGTGTTATCCATGGTATGTAGAGAGATATAGAATTAGAACAACGGACTGGAAGGGAACTCTGGAGATCATCCAGTCCAAGCCCCGTCGCCAAGGCAGGGTCACCCGGAGCAGGTGACACAGGCTTTGCAATGTCTCCGGAGAGGGAGAGAGGGAGACTCCACGGCCTCCCCGGGCAGCTGCTCCACAGCTCTGCCACCCCCAGTGCACAGGAGCTGTTCTTGATGTTGAGGCGGAACTCGTTGTGTTTTAGTTTACGGTCATTGCTGCCCGCCCTGTCGCTGGGCACCTCTGAGCAGAGCCGACCCCTGAGACAAGCAGAATACGGAGATATCACCCCCAGCAGCACCGCCCAGCCAGCCCCGCCCGCAGCGCTGCCCCAGGAACCGCCACTGCGAACATTTCCCGGCCTCTGTCTCCATTTGGAAACAAATCCCACCCCTCGCCAGCCGCTCCTCCCCTCCCTGGGCCCACTCTGAGCGCACTTTTCCCGTCACGGAACGCGCTCGGGAGCCGCAGCCCGCCGGGGGAAGCGCTCCCCTCACGGCGCCCGGCGGAGTCCGCGAGAACCGACCCGCTGCCGTGAGGGGAGGAGTGGGAGAGGAGAGAGAGAAGAGAACAGGGGAAGGAAGAGGAGGAAGAAGAGAAGAAGAAGGGGAGAGGGAGAAGAAAGGAAAGGGAGAGGGAGAGCAGCGCTGCCCCGCTCCCCAGACACCTACGACATCCCGGAGCCGTTCCTGCCGCCTCCTCTTCGGAGCTCCCGCCGTGCTCCCGCCAAACGCCGCCGGCTGGAAACGGCGCCGAGGGTGGGCCGGGCCGGGGCGGGGCTGAGGAGCCCGGCAGGGCTGCGGGGCCGAGTCCGAGACCACCGAGATCGAGACCGCCGGGGCTGAGACCGAGATCGAGACCGCCGGGACTGAGACTGAGATCGAGACCGGTGTCGGTGCGGGCTCGTCGGGTCCCGCTGTGCGCGGTAGGAGTCGGCCCGGGGCCGGTGATGTTCGGGCGGCGGGTTCGGGGCGGCCAAACGCGCCTCAGGAGTCCCTCAGGAGTCCCTCAGGGACCGCCGAGCAGGGCTGAGGGAGGGCGGATTCCCCTCAGGGCCGGGGGAAGGGGATTGTAATGTGGTTTTTGTTGTTGTTGTCGTTTTACGGTGGGTGGCCCACTGTGCCAACTAGGGAGGGAGGTGAGGAGATCCATGCGGGAAAGGTTTCCTCGTTTCAGGTGGACGAGGCCGGAGCAGGGCAGAGCTTCCCTGTGCCATTGTGGGCTCTGTGTGGATGAGCCTCGGACATGAAGGTCAGTGTTGCCGTGGAGGGTCTGACTTTAGGAATTAGGAGGAATTTCTTCACAGAAGGGGTGACTAGACATTGGAAGGGGCTGTCTAGGGAGGAATGGAGTCCCCATCCCTGGAAGTGTCCAAGGAAGGATTGGACATGGCCCACAGTGCTCTGGGCTGAGAACACGACGCTGGTTGGGATTGGAAAGGACCTTAAAGCTCATCCAATTCCACCCATGGGAAGGGACACCTTCCGCTGTCCCAGGTTGCTCCAAGCCCCGTCCAACCTGGCCTTAGACACTGCCAGGGATCCAGGGGCAGCCACAGCTTCTCTGGGCACCCTGTGCCAGGGCCTGCCCACCTTCCCAGGGAGGAATTTCTTCCCAGTCTCTAAACCTACTCTCTCCCTGTTTGGAAGCCTGGGCTGGATTGCTCCCCTCTGTCTATTTTTCTAAAGTGTCATTTATCCTGTGAAAATGTCCCAGCCTAAGCCATGGGGCTGCTGGCAGTGCTGTCACTAAGCCATTGCTCACTGGATTTCCCAGCAATAGATTGGCAGCACTTTCTGGACCACATAAGAAATATCACAGTAATGGGAAGTCCACGGAGTACAAACAAGAGTTGACATTTTCTAAACTGGTTACTGGAAAATTAACATTTATTCTTCTTCTCCTTCTTGCCTTTCCCCCCAGTCCCAGTCCATGTGTGTAACACTGGTGCTTAATTATAGTGACACCCGTTTGCAGGAGCCAGGCTGTGCCAGGGGGTCCCTGTGGGGTCCTTCTGCTGCCTGTGTAATATTAAAGTGTCAGGGTGTTACAAATTGGGTACTTCATCCTTGATAAGCAATTATTATCTGCCTTTCCCAAGTGGGAAAAACCCGTATAACTCAACAAAGTGCCAGTTATTGAGGCCTCCTGAGTAAAACCCCAATGAGTCCTGAAGGGGACCCTGGGACGATGTTGTCTTGTTGCTGAACTTGAGATATTCCATTTATTATACTGGAATATATTTCCTGAAGTCAACATTGGGCAAAATAATACAAGAGGCTGTTAAATCAACAGCACAACAGGATTTAGTGTCCCTCTGTGATGGCCTTCTAAAAATCTTAATCACCCCTGGTGGAAGCAGAAAGCTGCTGTCAGAGTTTGCTGACCACTGCTGAGCAAACAGCATTAGTTACTGCTTTGAGTCGTTTTAATAATTGAGGAAAAAAATGTGTTTCTGTTTTCTTCCATTCATTTATAATTGCATGGGCCTTGGACTTAAAAGGCCTGAGTTCCTCAAAGTTTTATGCATGCTTATTTTTAAAGTTTTATTGCACATTTATTTCTATTGTTTATATTTAGGTAACTCTAAGAAGTAGAATTCTGTGCTTAACCTGGCATTTTTTTGAGATTAAAGGCTCCAATTTTGACCAGTTCCATTATTATCCACATGTTTTGTTGAGTTACAAGAGTAAAAAGAGAAAACGTGGATGGCAAAGCCTTGTTTCACAGATAACATAAAAATGTGTTTTTGTGCTTTCAAATATCAAGACTACATAATGTTTATATAATACTTGTAATATCAAATGTCTGCAACTATATAAAATACAGTGAAATTAAACTTTTTACTGCCAATGAAAGATAAACTGTGAATAACACATAGTGCTCAAACTCTTTCTGCTTGTGGATCTCATGGTGCTTACCTACAGGTGTAGATAATTATTCCCATCCCAGATTTAGAGAAAAGAAAGGGTATGACCTGGATGTTTGGATAATTAGGGCCAGTCTGTGTTTCAGAGGACAAGCAGAGGCATTATTGAGGCAGTTACAAATTCTAACTGGAGTTTCATCCCTCACAGGATGGCCAGCACTCCTGGGAATCAGAAAGCCACACACTTGGAAAATTCCCAAGGGAAGAAGTCCCAGCATGCAGAAGAAGCCATTTTTTACATGAACTGCAGAGCAGCTTATCTGACTGTCTTAAAAAGCAGCTTAGAAAATATTAAATCAAAAGAACAGCTCAGTTTAGGTAATAATTGGCTCTTTTTTCTTTCTAACTCTTACATGGGATGATTGCAGTGGGAGTACTGTACATAAACTCAGTAACTGCTTTAAGGAATTGAGAGTAGTTTTGGATGCCTGGTGGAAGTGGGAATGCCAGACAGAGGCATTTTATTGTAATTATTATTATTATTATGGCATTTTATTGTAATTATTGTATTACAGATTTTATTTTTAAATCACCAGTAGGAAAGATCTCAGTTCAGTTCAGAGTGGGCCATTGCCCTGGCACAAAATCCACCATTACTGGTATTCCATAAGAATTCTTACTCCTTAACTCCTCCTGAATTATACTTTCATAGACTGGAATACAAAATTCTCATTTTTCCGTCCAGACTATATTTGTATATAAGTGGTGGTAGTGGTGTCAGCAGTACAACAGAAAAAAAATATCTCTGACTGTTTCAGCTGCACTAAATAAGGCTGTTGGTAGAAAATGAAAGCTGTGGGGCTTTGTTTTGAAAACTTCAGGAATTTCAAAGGGAAGTAATAAAAATTGACCTGAAAAATGGAAGTTGGTTTCTTAATAATATATCTTAGTGACCAGGTAAGATAAGGAAAGAATAAGGTAAGACTGAGTAATAAATAACCTCAGTTTTGAAGGAGGTTTCACTATGCCAGATAAAATTTCTCAAGCAAATACAATTCCAACTTTGCAGTTTCTTGGAGTTGTAGGATTGTGTGCTCAGTTTGAGTGGTGAGTTTCTTTTTTCTTCTTTTTAAAAAGGTTTTTCATGGAAACCACCACTGTAAAAGCTGAGTGCACTGATTGTAGCTTCTTTCCTTACACCAGAACGTGAAACTCCACCCATTAACAAGCATATTCCTACAGCTTGTAACATCCTAATGATAGTTTGGGATAATCTGGATTTTAAAAGAGGGGTAGTGTGAATAAATGTCATCTCTCTAATAAATACTTTGGCTTTCAGCTTTATCCATATGGCACTTGGCTACACAGCAAGTGTTTGGGCATTTTGCTTTCAAGGTCAGCTTAGAGAGGGCAGTTAGTTGTTTAGACTCTCAATCCTTTCAGAGATATTTCAGAATTTATTTGTAAGAACTGAGAGTTAAAGACTCATATTTCATCTGAAGTCAATATTGGCATTTCTCAAAGGAGTGGTGCCAATGTTTAAGCATCTCTTGCTTCATGAAGTTTGGTTGATATTCCAAAATAAAGTGCTCACTGAGAGATGGGCCCTGTGAAATTTTATTTGTAGGAGTTTTGCTTATCCTCAAATAGTAGCTTCATTTTCTGTCTGTTGTAATATTACTGGAGTGATTTAGCAGAATCAGACCATAAAGAAATATAAATAAAAGGTACAGTCTGATTGAACTTTCACAAATACAAATTGGGAGGCACATAGGGAATGGCAAGTGCTGATCTCCCAGGAGATATAAAATTAAGGATTGTATATTTGAAGGATATCTGTCAAATATAATAATGTGCTGCACTGACATTCTAGAGAACTCTCCTATCCATGGAAACAAACCCACAGAGTCACTGCCCTTCCTTCCCTGGCTGCCCTTGACATTGAGATTCCCAAACCGTTGCTCTGTGCCCAGGCATGGCTCCCATAAAGATGTGAGCCCTGCTCTGCTCTGGCTCCTCCAGCAGAGGTGGCAGGGCACAAATCTTTATTTAGTGCTTGGCACTGAGGAAGGGATTAACAAGAGAGGAGCCTGGCTTGGTTGGTTGTTGCTTTGATGGTGACACAGCTCCCACTGAGCATTGTCATGATGCCACTGCCTCATTTCACAGATGTTCCTCAGCAGTTCCCAGCACAGGCTTGGGCACTGCTCAGCTGGCTCAAAATCAAATGCCAGCCCAGGTAGAGATGGAGGATCTCCTGTGCTTCCCTAAAAAATTATTTGGGAAGCTATAAAAAGCATCCCTCTCATTTCAGATAGACTGTGAATTTAATTTCCACTTAACATAATACCTTCATCACACTGAAAACTGAAAGGATTTTTCAGTAAAGACCTTGAAGAGGCAAATAGATCCAGCAAATTCATTTTGGAGAATGTCAGGTGTAACACCCATGGCACTGGTTGCATGTGTGGCATTGGCTGTCTGGTGGTATAATTTTTCCTTTAAAATTCATGTTGTATAATTTGAATTGATATATTCAAATGTACAGGCGTGACATAAAATATTGTCTCAGGTAAATTCAACTCTAGATCTCAGTTCTTGGCAAAGGAAAGATGAAAAGATGATGAAAAGAGGAAAAGATGATGCTGGTCTTAGTAGAAGTATTTATATATTTTTATATATATATATATATAATAACGTGCAGACTTAAAAGTAATATGCTCTTGATATTAAGATACTGGATAAAAGTTGAATTTTACACTTGAGACTGTCTTTGAGTTCATGGATATTTTGATTAAGATCATAACCAAATCTGTCCTTCAGACCCACTTTTCTCTTGGAGTGATTTGGCTTTAAAAAAATCTGAACAAGGATGTTTGGAGAAAACTCCTTTCCTAACAGCTGGAGTATATATTTAATATTATGTTTTATTGTTCAGCACTTCAACAAGCTGGAAGAAATCCTTCTCAGAAGACTATTAACAAATACTGGACTTCACAAACAACTTCACTGAATTTTGATGATTTTTGTGCTATTTTAAAAAAAGAAAAGCCAGCTACAAAAAATGAACTACTCGAAGCATTTGGAAAAATAGACACAGATAAGTCTGGATATATTTTACATGATGAACTTTTTAAAATTCTTACAACAGTAAGTATTACTAGAAACTTAATTATCCATCTTGAATTAGTAGAGGTTTTGGAAATTAGATGGTTCTGAGAGCTGGGATTCCTCATTTTATGGAAGATTTTCATGGTGGGTTTCCAGAAGACACCACAAAATTTCATAACCTGAAACAATTGATCTCTTTGATATTTAGTAGCATTGTAAAGACATAATTTTTAATGATTTTAACCTCTGTTTTCATGATTCAAATCAAAATCTGTTGAAATCTATTGCAAGATAAACTTCTCTGAAAGAATATTTAAGGATTTATCCTTTGTTCATAAAACTTGTGCTGTAGGCAAGCAGGATTCTTGATTAGGAACCCAAACTGAGCTGTTTTTTTCTTGCAGAGAGGTGATAAAATGACCTGGGAGGAAGTAACCAGCATTACTAAACAAGCTGATTTTAACTGCAGTGGCAAACTTGACTACAGCAAGGTATGGCCAAGAGTGATATTTGTTCTTGTATGAGCATTAGTGATGACCTTAGCCCAGGATTCTAAATTTGGGTCTGAATAAACAGCCCACAGAGATTTGTACATAAATATGGTTTCATAGGAGGAAAACTGGTAAGAATCCTATGTTAAAAATCAGTCTTCCAGTATCTAGAAAGGAAGAGTTGAAAGTCACAAGTAATTTTTGTTCAATATTTGGACCTCCTTGTTGAATCATGGCTGCATTTTACTGTGGTACTTGAGTGGTTATTCTGATTATTGAAAATTAAAATTATATTTGGCTTGAAGAGGAAATACATTCCATCTGCTGAGCAGTGCTTTCCTTGCTAATCCTCCATTTTTCTCCTTAGAGCCTTTTGAGAAATGTAACATTAAATAAGTGAAATACTCTTTTTGTCTCTCCAGTTCTGTGAGCTGTACCTGACCACCAGTGAGCAGTGCTGCAAAGCTGCAAGGGACAGGCTGGAAACTGACCCTCGGCTGAGGCAGCAGCACTTTGGGAATCAAACTGAACATTTCTCCCATGGGATCACACTGCCAGCGTCAAAAGCATCCCCAAGAGTCTCCAGGAAAACTGATCACAAATTGGCCAAAGGTATTTATAGTTCTTATATTTTATGTTTTCTTTCTGTTGGAGATGAAGCTCTGGCTCAATGAGCTGTTGAGTTTTTGTTTAATTTTTCAATTTTTCTCAGATTATTGAAGTTTTTTTTGATGAATATGATTTCTACTGTGACAATCACATCAATGTGTCAGTAAAATATGTTCAAATGGCTGCAGCTGTGTAGCTCTCAGATTCCTAAGAGTGGATTTTGTTGATTTTCATGTGACACAGTCCAGAGGGAAGAGAGAAAATGAATGCTCAGATGTTGCAATATAGGCAAATTATTTATTTCCTTCCTAGATCAGAGATGAAACCCTAAACATTTCTCAATAATCTGTGTGTTTGTTTCAAATATTGAGGCTGCTTTTCAAGCACAATTATTAAATTGTTGACAGTTTCATGTCCTTCCTGAGTTACAAAGATACTTCAAAACCTTCCCTAACTGGAAAAACTCCACAGGGAACAGACTGCAGAGGGACCAAGTATGAAATTTTGGGATGTGCTTTGTGCTGTTCCAAGTTGCTTTAAATCAAAGAGGTGCAAAAATGACACAAGAGTGATGAAGGGAAGTTCTCTGATGGAGTTCTTGTCATCCAGTTTTCTTTGTGCTTCTAAATGCAAGGATTATGATAAATAGCACTAGGAGAGGGTTGCAATAATGTAACTGTAATTAAATATCTCTGTTTATAGGTGACAGCAGAGCTCCTTCAAGACCTTCATCAGCTCAAAGCAGCAAAGCTTCCACCTCCACCACTGTGACTGTGAGTGCCAGCAGCAGCAGGAACACAAAGCTAATTATTGAGCCTGACACAATGAAGGTATCACACTGAAATGATGGTGTTTTCCTCTAGGCACCTGTGTTACTGCATTTCAAAGAAGCTAAAAATCAGAGAAAAATGGTGTCTTATGTTTTATTAACAGTTTGTCAAGGGCAGCTATAAACTACTGAGAGCTTTCTTGGTACATATTACTATCAACATTTTTATATACTGTTGGTTTTGCTGACAACAAGTTATTGGAAATAATTTTTCAGGTGTGAAGGTTTAATAGAACAAAATGTGTTTTTTATAAATGAAACCACTGTTGGAGAAAACAGTTAATGACTTCTTGAGAAATTCAAAATTGAATAATTTATTAGGTTGGTGAGAACTTTAAATGCTTAAGTAGTCTGAAAGATTGTGTATCATAAACCTTTGCATGAAAGGTAATTGGAAATAAATAACAGATCTATGAACATATTCAGTTTCTTGGGCATTGCTTGGTAAATAGATGCTGTAACCTGAAAATATTGATTTTTAGTTAGACTAATATGTTCTATCAGTATTTTCTTTTAAATAAATCACTCATTCAATATAAATTCCTGGGGGAGAGAGACAACAAAGTCACTTTGCTAAGTCAATATTTGTAGAGTGTTAATATTGATCTTTTTCCCTTTGTTTTTCCTTTCTGGACTGAACCTTTACTAGTTTTCTTTCAACAGAAAATAATAGCGGTAGAAATATAAAACATTAACTGGGAACTGCTGGGATACATTAAAAATGTGCACCTGGAGACTCCTGTATAAAAGGGAAAAAATGGTTCTGACCACACAGTGTAACTGCTGCTGGGAAACTGAACTGATTGTCCTCAGGAGCTGCATTTTTGTTTCAAATAACAACTCTGGATTTGTTATTGAACTCTGAAGTCCTTTATATCTTCCCCATTGCTATACAGTGACATTTGTTCTATATTAAAATTTCAAAACATCATCTCTCAGGGATTTTGTGCAGTCTGTTTAGGTAGCTGGACCTCTGTGCAATTTAACCTGCAACCGTACCTTGTTCAAACGTGATGTGGGGTGTAGAAAACCAGCACACACTTCCCCAAGACTGGATTCTTTTTTCTTTCCACAAGCAAGTAAGAACTGACTGAAAAAAAAAGATATTGATTAGTATTGCTTGGCATCATCCAAAAACTAAAATTAATCAACATGGAAAGGTATAAGTAAGTAGAACTGTTAATTTTTTAAAGTTCATTTCATTCTACCAGAATCAATGAATAAATACCCAGGGATTTATTTATGGTGTGAATCAGAATCCATCACCCAAAAATTCTTTTTATTCATCTCATATCCAAGAATTTTGTTTTATTTTTTTTTTGCTGTTCACCTGTCTTTTTATTTAAGTATGGAAATATTGCCCTCAGGATATTGGAGCAACACCAACTTTACATTTCTGACAGAGGAAAACAGTGAAAGCCAGAACACGAAATGTCTAAAATTAAAAGCCCTTAGAAAATTCCTCTCAATCATTGTTTTTTATTAGGAATTATGCATCAATGAGTAGATATTTTCAATATTAAATTTCAGTGGCAGTGACCAGCAGCAGGTAGTGCCTAACATTTCCTTCCAATTAACATTTCTAACACAAACATTTCCCACTTCAGCTATTATTCAACAACTTCTGTTCTGCTTTGAAGTGACGGAGGAAAATCCAATCAGAAAATCCTCTTTTAGCTTCCCAGTTTTCCGTACCTTTTTGGAATTTTGATAATTTAGGATTTGTAGCACCACTTCATGCTCTCTACCAGAGTAACAGGATTTGATTTCCTGAACAGAAAGGATAAAGATAAGATTTTTGTCCAGCAGTTTTGGCAGGCATCAAGCTTGAATCAAACAACTAGTTGTTTCAGATGTGTCAGATTTTAAGAAAGAAATACCCATTTTTAAAATTTCCATTTGGATAAAGTCAGGAGTCATGGAAGTGTTGGAATAAACAGTTTAGGAATAGCAGTGGAAATGATCCAAGAGGCTGAACTCCATGTTGGAATTCTGTCACTGATTTATGTTAATCCCAGCTCCCATTATCCACATTTTGACTGACACAACCCCAGCTGTTGCTTCATATTCAACCCTCACCATTAAATCCCAGGAATATTTTGTCTCTGATCACTTTTTTCTTAATTATTTTTCATGATTGGTCCCCTTTTTCCTTGTCCTGTCACTACCAAAATCCGGTTTAATGGATAAAGATAAAATTATTGGATGGATTTGTTAGTTAGTTTTATTCTGCTCCATAAAAGTTGGCCAGAGGTTATCTCTGGCTCCATGGTCCAGAAATAGCTGCATTTCCATAAAGATTATCCCTAAAAACTTCCCCAGTATGTTGTGCCCACGATGAAAAGATTATGGGAAATTATAGGAGGGGAGAGACTTGGATAGCAGTGCCTGACAGGGATTGAACATCCCACTTTATTTTAAATAACTTAATTAGTCTTTGTCTTTTCCACAGCAAATTTACTTTAAAAGCCTTTTAGAACTTCCTTAGAAAAATCTTAATTTTTTTTAAAAAAGCAAACCTCTAAAGAACAGCAGAAAGGGAGTTGCAAAATGTATAATAATTGTATTTAAATTGATCCATGCTGTCATCTGTTGGCAAATATAATTATCAGAATCTTCATGGCAATTCCAATTTAATTTTCAGCTGTAGGAGCATTGGGGTAATCTCTGTGCTTCTCAGGCATTTTCACAAGTGAAGCACTGTTACTTTGTAAAAATTGTCTAAAAAAGGACTATTTGGGACTCTTTTTTTTAAAATAAAAGTATATTGATGCTGTATCTCATGGTGTGTTTTATTCAGGGTTCATTAAATAATCAAATCTTCATCCAAAATGAAGTAAACACTTAATATTTGCTTGTTTTCCAGGAATGGCAATGTGCACAGTCCAAAGGCTGCTTCTACCTGGAGGAAGATGGGGAAATCATCAGTCACAAGTACAGGCTACACTTACCCCAAAGATCTGCAGTTTGTGTCACCATCAAACCTTTCACTGTTCCCCAGGCAGAAGGTGAGTGTGTTTATTTTTAATTTTCTTCTGAAAAAGAGGTGAGGGCTTGGAGATTTACCACAGGGCTTCATCCAGTTGCTGCATTGGAATGATTTTTTTCCCCTAGTAGAATATTCCCTTTTTAATCCCATAAAACAGGAGGCTTTAAAACCACATATTGTTTTAAAGTCACCTGGGCTGGCTTTTTTTTTTTAAGAAATTTGTGTTGTGTGTAACCATTCCTTGATATTCTTGAGCCTTAATGATAGAACTATTTTAGCAATAATTCTTGATGATAAAATTGTTAATTATCTGCAAGACAATCACAAGGCTTGGAATAATTTATTTGTTTAGCCTAAACAGGAAGAAAATACCAATAGCATAGAACAGATTTTTTTTTCCATTTTTCATCAGCAGGGATCAATAAAAACCATGGGAATATTTCTTTTCAGATGCAAAGAAAACAAATTTTGGGCCATTATTAAGCATTTTTTGGGGGGATATTTTTCTTTTTAGGAAAATCTTGTCACTGGTTGTCAGTGGATACAGCTTTGTTTATTCTGAAGGAAAATGAAACACAAGAGAATCTACAGCTTGTGAGCTTTACTGAACTCCAAAACAAAGAGGTTATAGATTTTTGTTGTATTCCTATTTTCATTGTTATTTTATAATGTATGTGTTAATGCTGGAGGTGTGAATTCCATGTGTTTGGAAGGAATTCCAGCTGTACCCAGAACTGCTGAGTTGCTGGCTTTATTTACAGCCACTCTGTAAAAACTCAGTTCTGTTTCTATGCCTTCAAACACAAAATATCCAAGGCAAAATCTGTTTAATTTTCCTTTAATTTTCTTTCTCCTTGCTATTTGAACTTCACAATACACAGAATATTCTTTTCCTGTGGCAAAAATAAGAGAGCATTAACTTATTTTCCCCTTCTTCCCTTATTTCTTTCCTGTCTGTTTTTCTAACTTTTATTCTAAGAGATTCAATGTTTTTATTTTAATTTTTTAATTTTTTTTTTTTAAGGAGAGAACCCAGCATTCCCAGTGTTTTCAAGTACTTAATCACTTTTGTATGAATGTTGCTGGCAACAAAGAAAGGCATCATTTGAGAAGTTCTTACAAACTTTTCTGTCTTTCTTTAAGAGCAGGTGTTTGGCTGGAGAGGGGAGCTTGGAGCTGGAGTTTACTGGCTGCTCCCTTTCACAACTGGCTGCAGGCTGAGAAAGGTGAAAACCCAAATTACTGGAGAAGCAGAACTGGTGTGGAGGGATGAAGATGGAGAGCTGGCTCTCACCAGAGAATTCCGGTGAGTTTTAGTCCCAAACATAAGAATAAAAATCTCTTTTCCATCTAGAATGTGGCTTTTTAAATCTGGATGTTCCCAAAGTACAGAATTATTCTGTTTGTACAGAGTAATCTCAAACAGACTGAACAGAACTTGGCAATATAATGAGACAGCAAAAGGAAATGGAAGCCTTTGGAAACAGTTTGGCCTTTTTCATCCCTCAGAGCTACTTTGTTGGATATATTTGAAACAATTGATTTGGATGGCAATGGCCTCCTGAGTCTGGAGGAATACAACTTCTTTGAGCTGAGGACTAGTGGGGAGAAGTGTGATCAGGAAGCCTGGGCAGTGTGTAAGGGTAAGTTCATTACTGTGGTACAGCTAATTAGGGCTATCAATAAAGTTCCAAGCTGGCTAGAACTGGGTATTCTGTATCTATTCCAAAAACATGTGTAGATCTTGTTCTCTTCCTCCTCTCTTTTTCTTTTTTTCCAGTCTCCTGTCCTTTGCTTTGCTTCATTCTGCTGTGTGTGCCACTGACCTTCTGCTGAGAAAGTTCCTCCCCTTCCTAATTGTTTTGTAGCTGCCAAAACCTACAGGGTTTGTAATCCTGGATCATATGGGGAAGGAAACTGTCACAGGTATTTGTTTAATCCATCTCCTTTGTGCAGCTTGGGCTGGTGCTGCTTTTTTTATCTGACAAAGTGTGGAGAGGGACATTTAATTAGTCTCTAAATTGGCAGCCAGAGTTTTTGTGGGTTGCCAGTGTCTCCTTTTATAAAATCCATATCATGTTCAACATAATTCCTCTGGAGGCTGTAGCACATTGGCTAAAATACTTTAAATCTGCCAAGCCCTGTTAATTATCTCTTCCCAAAACACTCTGAGGTATCAGAATTTTTCCTAACTGATGGAAAAACTCCTACAGAAATACATTTCTAGAACTTACTTTCTCCTCTGTTTCATCCCTGGATGTGCTTTTCCACACTTGATGGCTTTGTCAGGGTAATACAAGTGGGAGGGGTGGAAATGTGTGAATAAATATGAGAGGAAAGAGGAGAAGATGGGGAATGTTTCACCAGGTCATCAATCAGTGGAAGGGTTCACACGAATATCATCAATCTTGACACCAAAGTTCAAGCCATTCATTACAGCATCTGTACCCTTGGATAGATTTATTAAATTGGTAATCCCTTTTTAATAATATATAGTAAAGATTTAGCATTGTTATGAAGATGAGAAAACCATTTTTAAAAGTCCCTGACACGAGGACATTTCAATTATGTGTTTGCTGACATGAGAGTGGTGGATCTATGATATTCTCTCTAGAGAGGGGTGTTAGGATTACTGGAATTTTATTGCTTTTTAGGAACTAAGTAAATCATTTCTGTATCAAGGACCTGAAGCGTTTCAAGGTGTTGGCTCCAGCTGGCTTTCATTTCCCATTCCTAAAATACCCCATTCTGCAAAGCTCAACCACAAACTTTTAGGAAAAAAACTTTTTTTTTTTAAATCTCCCACTTTTTTGGGAATATCCAAGGAGCCAGCTGTTTGTAGGCATTATCCCAAATCCACAAGGGAGCTCTGCAACCATCACATGGCTGGTCGAAGACATTCTTTCCCAAATAATCTTGGAGATCTTGAGGCTCTAAGTTGGCTCCATCTTTTCAACCTTGTTAACAGGAGGGGGATTTTGGCTGTGAAAGGAGGAAGGTGTTTGCAGGGAGAACAGATTTTGAAGTGCTGTTTTTATTCCTTTGAAACAGAGAATTTTGAGATGAAGAAGAATGAACTAACAAGACAAGGATTTCTGGATTTGAATCTCATGGAAGCCAATGACCGGGATGGGGATCCTTGGGACCTTTGGGTCACTTTGTTGTCCCTGGGCTACAACAAAGCCTTAGAAATGACAGAGGTAGGAGAGGCACAGAGCAAAAATCCTGCACATTTAACCGCTGCCATCTTTGTGTCTGCCACAAACTGACTGCAGGAGGGCAGGGAGCCACTGCCACCATCCAGGGCTTCCACTGTCATTGTCCTGATTCTTAGGACAGCATCTGGATCTTTGGAAAAAAGAAATTCTCCTTTGCTTTAGAGAAAGACAGGATTTCATGGGGTTACAGAGGAAGGAATTTTGGGTTGTGTCTGTTGAAAGAATCCGTGCACTGTGTTGGTGGGGAGTGATAGGAGGATGAGGATGGTAAACTGTGACCTGTCAGCAAATTTAGAAAAAACAGGTCTTTTTCACCTTAAAAAAGTAATTTTTTGTGGCCCAAACCTCAATAGAAATGGATAAAGATATTTTTTTTCCACGTGATTCAGAATTCCTAGTTTCCAGACATAACCATTTCTGTTATTGTTGCTATTTATAACTGGTTCTGAAGAGGTTCAACATAAAATTTTAATGCTTCATTAAAATTTTTGGGTTTAGGTCACACATTTTTTACTTTGCAGGACCAGGGATTATTTCTCTGATGTTTCTGTGCACTGACAGAATTTATTTTTTTTTTTAGTATCTATTTATTTTTATATTCTGAAATACATATTACATATTTCTCATGTTAATAATTCTTTCTAAAGAAAGAGAATCTCCTATGAAGAGAAAAACATTAAGAAAAATCAAAGCATTAAATATACAGATAATTAAATAATTTAATTCTCAGGAAAAGCAGATCTTTAGGATCACAGTCTGATAATATTATTTAACTTTGTGAAGCAGGTCAGTGTAGTCAGTATATAAAATATATAAAGACCTAAAAATGGCCAGTATGAGAGATAACAGGTATCTCGGAGTGAAAATTTTGTGACGGTGCTGAGGGATTTAAGGATGGGCTCCTTTTCCTCTGACTTGTGGTTGGCAGTCCCTGCAAGGCTGTTTTTCTGCATTTCAGCCACAAGAGAGAGCCCTCCTCAAAGAAAGAGCATTTTGGGGACGTTTTTCTCCTGTTAGGAATTTCAGGAAGGTGTTTTGTGCCTTGTTCCAGCTGTGGTTTCTGGCTCCAGCCTTTGCTTTCCAAAGGACAGCACAGCTCTCAAATGCTTCAGTAATTAATCTAAAATTCTCCAGCTGTTAACTCGTGTCTCTCACTTAACTCTTTAATTCCTTGGTTTCAAATAATTTAAGATTGATGTTTTGGAAGTACTGAGACAGAACTTGAGAAATCCTGGTGGATTCCAACGGCTTTTAGAAAGGAATTGATGTGCTGTGCCTAAGAAAATACAAACCCTTGATTGTTACACCAGGAGTAAAATGTAGCCAAGCTACTCCCAGAGTGCTCAATGCAACATTGCACAAGTGTTAAATCTGTGTGGAGTGGCACAAACAGCAACAGTGTGACAGGTTTATTTCAGACACTGGAATACATTCAGATTTCATTTTAATTCCTGGACACTTTTCTGTCCAAGGAAGCATTTGCTTTGCTGAGCTATGTCAGGTGGACTGGGAATGGCATGAAAAGGGCCAGTGGCCCTGGGGTTTAATTTGGTGGAAAAGATTGCAACAGCTCACAGTTTATAATATTTCATATTCAGGGAAATATTTACATCTGGGTCACTCTAGTCCAAATATGAAAATACTTAGGAGCTGTAGGTGAAAATCTGAGAGGAAAAACTACAGCTAGAGTGATGCTAAAACTCATCTTCTTCACTGCAGGCCTGCCCCTTTGTCATTGACATCAGTGCAGAGAGGTGCAAACCCAGAATTAAAGCCATTTCTCTGGAGGCAGGGGGCTCCCAGCTCAGCAGGGCTGTCTGCAGGTCTGTGGTTATTAAAGGAGAGGCCAAAGTGCTGGATGGCTCTGAGAACATCTTCATCTACACCTACAGATCTGGCAGCAGAATCACCTCTGTGATTGAAAATAAGGTATGGCCTGAAAATTCTGTATTGTACTTTTTGTTAATGTCTGCTGTTGCTCCTCCTTGCTTGGGTCATATTTGAGAATTGCTTTTCCTGAAATGAGGTTTTTGTGTCTGTTTCATTAAAAAAAAAGCACTGCCTGATGTGTTCCTTGTGACCTCAGAAGAGCCTGGGTCGGTGTTGGTGGAAAGGGCAGAATGTTGTAATGAGGCAAACAGTTCTGACTACTGTATAGAAACTGAATATTTTTGTGTTCACATCCCAATTTTTCAATATTTTGACACCTATCATCATCATATGAGGAAGCAAACACTAACAGCAGGAAATGCAATTAGAGCAAGAGCAAAGATCACAGCATTTACACTACTGAATGTTTTCAGTGTCCATAAGAAAGTCAGAGCAGTGATTTTTAGGAGTGTGTTATGGATGAGTTTTTACCGGATTATTCTTCCAGGTGTGCTTTATTAGTAATTCAAGCTGAAAGTTGTAAATCCAAGTAGAAGTGGTAGGTGAGATTTTAAACCTTTTTCCACAGATCACAAGGAATGTTTTCAGTTTCCTTTATACCAGGAACTGTGAGTAAATAAGCACGGTGCAGTAAGATGTTGAACTTCAGATGCTTCAAATCTTAAAAGATCACAGCAAGAAGTGTATTTTTAAATTCCCAGCCATGCAAAAGGTGGTGGGCTGGGGGACTAATATTAGGACTGGATGCTAAGGCTCCTGGAACTCTGGATTTGGCTTTGCACTTCGCCCTTTAGGGTGGATATTTCAGAGTTATTTATATGTTTGGGGATATGTCAGCGAAAGAGATCAGGGCTGCACTGGGATAACTGGATGTTCTCTGCTTCAGATCTCTGCCCACTCTGTTTATACCCCTTGGGTTTGGTTTGCAGGTCTCACCCAACTGGGTGGGAATGCTGGGAGCTCCACAGAGGGATCTGGACAAGCTGAGGCTGGTGCTGTGAGCTTCAACAAGGCCACGTTGTATCTTCACAAGTCTTTGCCTTGTTAGAATGAGTCTTCAGTGACTTTTGACCATGGCAGTGGTGCTAAGGTGCATTTGTTACCCTTCAAAGAGTATCTGTTCCTCTTCAGAGTATCCATAAAGCATTTCCATCCCTAAAACAGCAAGGTCACAGGAAGTCCAAGGAGTGTGCAGTTGTTACACAAAGAACAGACTCTTAACCACTAAAGTCTAATGGTTCCTTCATGTTTTTTCACCTGCAGTCTGAAAATAAAGTGATAATTCATGTCAACAATGAGCAGAGTAAGAACTGCCTAAACAGTAGGGGACTGACGGTTTTTGCCGTGGAAGTGGCTCCAAAATCCATGATGGTAAGGTTCTCTTATTGCTTAGCCAACTTTAGAGAAAATCAGGTGACATCTTTATATTTTCTTTTTGTAGGGATTTTAGCATGATAATGAGCATGTGTACTGTGGCATCTTCTGACCAGAACAGATCAGAAGCACTTTTTGATATTTCAAAGTTGATCATGTACTTGATGTATCCCTGTTTTCCCGTGCAGTTTGCTATAAAAATCCATAATCCAGTTTTTCATACATGAGCCTATTTCATTGTCCATTCTATACATGCACCATTCACTAAGATTTTCAATACTCTTTTTCTAAGACTGTATTTTATTTTTTTTTCACTTAGCAATTTTTAATCCCATGTATTGATGCCTGTGAGAACAGACCAAGCATGCACTAATCAGAAAGGGAAATAAATGTATTGCAGTCCTTGTGCACACTGTGATTTGCTGGTGGTTAACTTTTGTTAAACTTGATTTAGGGATCATGTTAACCATGAGACAATTTGATTGCTGAGCCCTGCTGCAGAGCAGGGCAGGATGTAGTGACAATTCCAAATGGGGGTTCTGAGGGATAGAATGTGATGGAAAATGCATTACAAATGCAGATGATGTTTTTCTTAATTTGTTTAGAATAACCCCCTCGTTTTATTTTTCTAAAAGTACACCCTCTTTGTTTAAAAGCAGAGGTTTGTATTTCCCAGCTTTCCAGGGTGGATTCATTCAAGCCTGCTGCAAACAGAGCAGTCCCATGACACAGGCAGGGTTGGGGCCTATTTAAATTGCTGCTGACACTTTAGATATCCATTGCCTCATCCTGTAAGGTGATTTGTAATTTGAATTTAGGCTTCATTCAGTATAAACTGTAGGCTCAGTCCTTATGGATGTTTTGCTGTTAAATTCAAGAGTAATTTTTTAATATCTGTCAGTGTAGATGATAAATATTCATCATTTAGTGACACAAGTACTGAACACTTTGCTTACACAGCACATTGGGGAACAGGTCTCCAATAAAGAGAACTCTCTTTCACCTCTGCTTTCTCTTGTGCCAGGTCTCTCAGCACGTGATGGCCCTGAATGAGCAGGAAGAGTGGATTTACAGCTGTGTGCACTCCCTTGTATGTTAAACCTCCCAGTGCCAGGGCTGGGAGCAGCCAGACTCAATCAGCATTAGCTTTGGGCAGCTTTTAGACTTTTTTTATAGTCTTGTCCTTCTCAAAAAGATGGAATACATTTATATTTCTTGATGATTTGGGCATGAAAACACTGAGGCACAATAAAAATTAGTGTTGTTCAGTAATCCAGCTGCCAGTTGTAATATAATTGTGCTTTATAAAGGATTGTTTCCCTAAATGTGCTCTTATTTTCCATACCATGGATTATAATTCCATCACAGGCTGGAACTGCTTCACTGAGAAAAAACTTATTCAAGTGGGTTCCTAATTAAACATTCCTGTGGTTTTGATGTGAGAAGTATAAAGGGATGAATCTCATTTTATTTTGTCACTTGATAAAGGATTTGTTTCTTTCCTCTTTTTTTTAGCCATTTGCTGATAATCCTCATCTTACCTTTGTTCTGTAATTTCTGCCTTATTTTATACTCTTTTTATATAAAATATAGCCTGCCTTTCCATATGCAATAAGGAAATAACATCATTTGAGAAAAATGAAAGTTTGTCTTGGGCTCTTGACTATTAACAGCACTTAATTATTCTCAGGGCAGCTGAAATAAGATGACTGAAGTGCACCAAGTTTAGGCTGCAACAGCAGTGAAAACCAGCTTTGAGGTACCAAGAACATTCAGCTTATTTTATTTTTCTGATCCCTCTAAATATCTGTTAATGTGGAAAAAAAAATGATGACCCTGACCACTGGATGCTTAAAAAGTGTTTGAGTTTAAAATAGCCATTAAATGTACGTGACCTCATGTGTGAGGGCAGCAAGTAGTGTTGCAAAGTTATTTTTATCTGCCCCAACTGCTGCTCTCTGCTGTTACTCTGCTGTAATCTTACACTGGGCAAGTAAATGTCAGTGACAAAATGAGAGCTGGGCTCTGATTTACACACTCAGGCAGGATTCCTGGTGAACTTTCAGTTTTCCATGTTTTTTCCTTAGCAAGTACCACAGGTATCGTTTCCATTTTCAGAATTGCCTGAAAGAAGTTGAGGCCCCAAAAATATTTGGTGATTTTTAGTTCTGACTGAGCTCTGCAAATGCTGCCTCAGGCAAGGTATGGGCAAAGCAGAAATTCCCAGCTCCTTGTCTAAAAAGGAGTTGGGAAATAATGAGACACTGTGTGGAATAGACACTATAGAATGAGCACTCCATGATTTACATTTCTTTTATTTGTAAAATCAGCCTTTTTAGATGTGGCAGGAATTCATATGCAACCCTCTCTGCATTTTAGGAAAGGAATGGTTGAAGCTGAAAGAAGGGCTTAGCTGAGAAATCACTGCACGTGGAAAGAGTTGGGTTTGCTGCAGGTAAAAACATGGCACAGCACTACACAGGGTACCTCATTTATTTTCTGATCCTCCTACTGCTAGGAAGGGTTTAATTATCCAATTTTTTTAAAGTGGGGACATGGGCAAACTCTCCATGGCAGGTTCTACCTTTCCTGCCCTGGGTGTGGTGAGGCTGGAGATCTTGGTTGTATCTGCAGAGTCTTTTTCAGTTTGCTCCAAATCTAGGTACCACCAAGACAGAAAAATTCCAGCTTCTCTTTTAAGGTTGAACACAGGCACCAGCTTATTTTCTTGGAGGGAAGACATTTAGGAGAAAAAAAATCCCTGTAACAGGTAATTTAAATTTCAGGAATGTTACCTTTCTTTTGAGAACTAAAGCTGTAACAAAATCCAGCTTCTTCAAGGCTTTGCTGGGGCACTGGGGGCTCCTGCTCCTGTGGGGTGGTCACTTGAGGCCAGGGCCTGTCTGTAAGGGCTGTGGGGACATCCTGCTGGTGGCCACAGGGCCAGGCACGGTCTGGAGCACCTGGGACAGCTGGAGGGGCTCACCTGGACCAAAGGAGGCTCAGGGGGGACCTTGTGGCTCTGCACAACTCCCTGACAAGAGGGGATAGCTGGGGGCGTCAGGTTCTGCTTCCAGGGAACAGCAGGAGGAAAAAGGGCTTTGAGTTGTGCCAAGGGAGGTTTAGATTGGATATTGGGAAAATTTCTCGATGGAAAGTGTCTGGTCCTGGCACAGCTGCCCAGGGCAGTGATGGAGTCCCCATTCCTGCATGGATTTAAAATCCATGTGGATGTGGCACTGAGGGACATGGGTTAAGTGGTGGCCTTGGTACCGCTGGGGAACAGCTGGACTTGAAAACCTTAAAGCTTTCCTAAACCTAAACCTTTCCATAATTCCATGAGACTGACTTGGATCGAACAGAGCACCAGGACACGGGGCTGTGGCAGGGGGCAGCATATGTGGGAGAGGAGAGGAGAGGAGAGGAGAGGAGAGGAGAGGAGA